TCCAGAAAGTCCACACGCCCCATTGTAGCCCTGTTAGTTTTCTGTGGTACATAGGGTGCCTCAGTGTGAGGTGTAGGAACCACACCTCTAACTTCCATTCCCTCTGTGTAGGCAACACTTGAGATATCATATGGCCTAATGATAAGAGCAGTATGTGCACCTGTCATTGTGTTTATGGGCCACGCATCGCGCAGCTTTGACAAGGATGTGACGAGATGGAAACACAGGGACTGCCCTTTTTGTAGGGACTTGGCAGTGACAATGAACACATCATTCTTCCTGCCAGAAGTTTCGTAAAAAAAACGGCACCAGGCGGTTACAGAAGTGGATGCCGAGGGAATCCGCCAAGAAAGAAAACAGGTGGAAGCTGAGAGGTACAATGGCTTGGATTTTGAGTTCTGATGAAGCCTAGAAGGAGATCCCTGCTGGGCATGGAGTGCAATTTTGAGCCATGTTTTCCTCAGCACGACCCCCTCCCCCTCCACCTCTCCTCCATTTCCCCTCTCTGATTCTCCCTGCCCCCCTTTTGTAAACCGTGTTCTTCAGAAACCTCCGAAGCATGAGTAATGGAGGATGTACCTACCTTTTGCAGTCTTACCGGTCTTGATCATTTAATACGTTTTATCTTCTCAGTCAATAGCTCAGTCTTTTTAAATGAAGTCTGAAGAAAATCATTTGTATTTGGAAAAGGGTTCCCTTTAATTTTCAGTGTTAAGACGTTTGGTGTGCATTGCCCACCAAAGACTATGATTGGAAGCATGTCCAAGTGTCTCCTGCATGGTGTCACCAGACATGGAGATGGTGCTGTCAAGTCCCTGTGGTACTGGGTAGGGTGTGTGGTATGTGTGCAGACTCACTCTGAGAGTTCCCCAGAGTGGTGCCTCTGGACAGAGGATACCGGAGCAGGATGGCAACCTCCCCTTGGCTTGGGTGCCTTGTGACCTCTGTGGCTGCCTTGTGCTTCTGTTCTGCTGCCCAGTGGGTCAGGAGCTCTGCTCCCCCAAGCTTCTAGCTCAGGAAAGTTTCTCCTGTGATTCCTGACAAGGGAGTACCTCACCGTGGTGGAGTTAGAAGATGCTCTGGGTTTGAACTGAGCAGGTGTTCCAAATGTTTCCCACAATACCGGGGTTAAGGGCCTACCCGCCCAAGGCACACAGAAGGCCAGCAGGGTATGGGAATGCACTCCAGGGACATTTCCTCCTCTCTCTGTCTAGCCCCCCTCCCCACACCCCTCCCAGATAAAAACAGGAGAAACGGAAACGGACTAAACCAAGTCTGTTAGGACCATAGCTGCTGGCTTAAGCTTTACTTTTCTCGGCTCGTTTTTCTAATTAGCCTCAGCAGGGAGTCCAAAACCTCATGAACCTGGAGCCAGAATCCGCAGTGCTGAGGGCAAAGCAAGGCAGAGTAGATGCATCATTTTCCTGGGAAGGAGCTTGAGGCTTGGGTCACATTAAGGAATGTACATTAAGGACAAATACAGACTTTCTTCTTTCCATGTAAGAGTTGGATAAGTTGATTCTATATAATAACTTGTCTTAAAAAGAAGAGTATAAGAACATTTTAAAATCTTTTAAGATAATTATAGTATATTATATACTATATATTGCGGGTGGTGGCGCATGCCTTTAATCCCAGAACTTGGGAAGCAGAGGCAGGTGGATCTCTGTGTGTTCGAGGCCAGCCTGGTCTCCAAAGTGAGTTCCAGGAAAGGCGCAAAACTGAGAAACCCTGTCTCTGTCTCGAAAAACCAAAAAAAAAAAAAAAAGGAAGTAATCTTGCAAGGTATAGAATCTGAAGGTGTTTGTTGGTATCTAGAATGCTCCAAAAATAAGAATCAGTTGCCTATGTTTAAAATTTTGCATGTTTCATGAGAAATCCCAGATTCCTATCCTATCTTGAAATTTAACGAATTTAGCAAAACATGCCTGTAGGCTGCCTCCTCTAAACTACCGGGGGACCGTGGTTCCCACCTGCCCGCCCATATGCCGTCTGCTTCAGCCACCAGATATTTGCAGTAACCTTGTGGCCGCTTCAAGAGACAGCTCTCCAAACTTTTTGAAACTTAACTCCTGAAATACTGCAAAACTGTGTTCTTCTCTTAATGGGGGTCCGGGTGGGGTGGGGTAGAACACAGGTTACAGAGAGTAAATTCTAACAGTGGTTGGTTCTGCCGGAAGTGAGGAGAGAGATGTTTCTTCACATCATTTTTTTATCTGGAAAGTGCATTGGAAGCTTCTAGGGCATGTTGTAATTCTGATCCTCCCCAAGAGTTCATTTGCAAGCCTGGGTTGGAAGGGAAGCTGAGTGTGTTGTTAGCATCTCGTGACAGTGTCCAAAGGACTTGATCCCGGGGTTCTAAGTAAGCTTGGAGACAAAGATGTCTACTTTATTCCGCTGCCCATTTTAAGCTGGGCAGGCATTGTCGATGCCACACTGGTCCCCCTCTGCCGGATCACTTCCTGCTGATGCACGGGGAGTCTACGGTAGTAGGTGGCTTCACCTGTGGTAGGTCTGTGCCAGCCAGCTACCCAGCCTCGTGCCCTGCCTGTTCCTGCTGACGGGACTGGAGCACTGGCTGGGCTGGGCTTTCTACTGGGGCCGGGAAACAGAACTTGCCTCGGGGCTACACTGGTGGAAGCCGAAGCCAGAGGGATTAAGTGATTTGCCCTCAGTCACACTGCTAATTAGTAATGGAGCCAAGATTAGAGGCCCTGTCTGGCAGCACCTGGTCCTGAGCCCGTCCTTCGCCACCTCCTCCCAGCCCCTCTCATCCCTTCTTCCTGGCATCGCAGTGGAACCCGAGTCTCCCTTCTAGAATAACCGTAGCTGGTAAGGAGGCATTCTCTCAACATATGTTGAGCCGTTTGGTGGGTAAAGTTTGTGATCGTCTGAGCCATTCCGGCACAGCTGTAGTGGAATTCTGTAACCTCAGCGGGTGCTGCGGACATTCCATGAATGCATTTTCATGCTGATAAGTGTGCTCGGTGACATTGATATTGACAAGGAACTTGTTCACTCATCTAGAAGATAATCGAACAGGTTAGAAGCGTGTGCTTGCACCTCGAGTGTGCTTGGGTTATAATGATCTAAGGTGTCTGAGATTCGTTTTTGTGTTTTTCACAGTATTCAACAATAGCCAAGAAGAGAATGTTTCTTTTTCTGTCAGTGACAAGTGTATTCTCTCGAGGCTTCAGTGACTGAGAAGCCAAATCTCTTTTCTTTATCAGCTCTCCATCTCTCATGCATTTTCTATTTTTGTTTCATGATTATTTAGTGTTTTCAATGGTGTGGGGAGATGGCTCAGTGGTTAAGAGTGTCTAATCGCTCTTGCAGAAGATTTGAGTTTTCATCCCTGCACCCACTATCATGCAGCTTAAAACTGCCTGTGACTGTAGGTCCTGAGGGACTGACACTCTCTTCTGGCATCCTCAGGCAGCCATATGCATGTGGAAACACACACACACACACACACACACACACACACACACACACACACACAATGATGATAATAATAAAATAAATCTTTTTGAATGTAACATCACTCAATACCTTTTTAGAGCTATTTTTGTTTCCAATTACTGCCTTCATGGCATGCCTTCCTTGTTCTTATGGCTGCCCCCTTTGCTCACAGGAAACTTGGTGAAGTTTTTGGCTTTCCTCTTTTATTAACTTTCTAATGAAAAAATAAACCTTGCAAATTAAAAACACCACACACTGAAATAACCAGCCCTAAGGTCTGTAAGTCTCAGTGAATTTCTATACAGTTAGAGAACTCTTGTACCCTATTTAGAGATATTTGCAACATCTTATTGCTGTTTTATTCACTTAGAATCAGCCTATTTGTCCATCCACAGATAAATTGGTCATGAAAATTTGGGGTGTGTGTGTGTGTGTGTGTGTGTGTGTGTGTGTGTGTGTGTGTGTGTAATGGAATACCATTCAGTTGTAAAGAAAAACGTAATCTTTAGAATTTTGCTGCTTTCCACGTTGGCCTTGTTTCTTCTGTGAATAATTTCTGTTTTTCCATTTATCCTATGTCTCTCTCACGTTTTAGACATCGTTCCTGTGTTTTGTGGTCCTTGTTTTCTGTGCAGTGTAAAGCTGGCCGCTAATAGGTCTGAGCAGATATCAGCACAGTGGAAGGACCTGTCCGCTGTCCGCTGTGGCTGCAGGGGGATGGGAAGGAGTGTAGTTACTCTGGTGAATCAGTGCCGGAGTCAGCTGTGTCTATCCAAACTGCCCTGGCTCTCCCTGGGCAGTCTTCTGGAGGAGGAGGCTTCTGTTTGGGATGTGGTGTGGGAGCGCACCGGCGCTTGGCTGGAAGCAGGTCTCTGAATCCTGTGGTTTGCACCTCCTATCTCCTTGCCTGCTTCTTGGTGTACCCAGGGATGGTTTAAATCAGCCATCCATTGATCGTTGTGGAGCCACCAAGTCTAAAAGTCACTCTTGTTTCCTCTTCCTCCCCTCCCCCCCAACAATACACTGTGAACATAAAGCCCAGACCACGAGCTTTGCACATTCCAGCTGCTTTGCATATGTTTAATGACTTGCTTCTCATAATGAACTTCGTGGGAAAATTTACTTGCACCCCAGCTTTGCAGAGGAGTGTCTAGGTACAGTTTGGTTGGGGGGGTCCCTTTTGAGTTGAGGCCACACAATCTAGGGCTCAAACCCAGTCTGTGTTAACATCAGTCGGTGCATTGATTAGCCTTCCTCTCTTAGCAATATTGGGGTAGAATGTGGGTGCCCATGTGTTGGGGTGTAATCTTGAGTGGGAAGCCTGTGGTTGGGCCGTTAATTGTGGCGAACACCCGAAAGCAGCCTGTGCAAGCAGCTTTTGGTGCCTGAGAGCCAGAAGAGCCGAGTTCGGCTTCTCCACTGAGGAGTGGGCAGTGCTTGGGCAGCGTGTGTCCTGTGGGCTTCTGGTGTCGTGTGCCCAGGGTGAGGTATGTCTCCTGAGCCATTTGGACAGTACCCGTGTTCCTCTCTCATCCTAGGACTGACTCCGTAGCGCAGACAATGGGTGTTTACTCCTGGTGGAAGCAGCCATCCTGGATGGCGGACAATAAAAGGATGGGAATGACTCCAGCCTTGCCCCGGCTCCTGTCAGCTCTGACGCTTCTGCATCTGACAGCGCAAGTACATAGTCTGAAGAAGGGTAAGTAAGCCTTGCAGCAGACAGCGGGCGAGCTGCTCTACTGTGAACTACTACGTCCTGTTTCTCCACTGACTTCTTCAGCGTTCTGCTGGTTAAAACCCGTTTCTCTGCAGTCTTTTCCCTGTGTTTTTAAGCTTCTCTTTAAAAATATTCCTTTTACCCCATACCAATCATAAAGCATGATTTTCACGCAGTGATATGCACTCCTTTAGTTTACAGTTCTCTGAGTTTTGACAATGCGCAGTTGCTAACCCCAGGCACCACCGAGATCTGGCTGGCTGTGTTCCCGAGCACAGAAAATGCCCACTGTGTCCCGGTCGCCAGCCCTTTCCACCCCCGACCCCCCTTCCAGCTCTCTGTCTCGAATGTCGCTGTGGAAGAAAGTTTTCTGAATGGAATCCCAAGTCTTTTCACGTGTTTCTCCTGTCTTATTTTAAAAACCTTAGCAATGTTCATGCAGATACTACCTGCCTTATTTCTGTGAAGGATGTTATCCTGCTGCCCATCTACTTTATTTTGATAGTATTTACACAATTAAAAAGACCTTTCCCCCCAAGGTTATTGAGTAAATAACTTGGTTGGTTGTGGTAACTGCTGGTTTCTAATGTGCACGTTTCCAAGGTGTTTCTGGGTTTGTTTTTTTATATCAGCTTATAATTTATGACAGCAGTGAATACCATGCCTGTAATACATAAAGATAATAAGCTTTTTCATAGACACTATAGAGTATGAGTTCATTTTTACGCTGTTTTCCTCTCCCTCCGTTCTTTCCTCTTCCCTCTCTCGTGTTCCTCTTTTCATTCCTCCCTCTCCCCTTCTAGCTTTCCTTTTCCTCCCCTCCCCCTTTCCCTTCCCCCCACACTTTCCCACCTTCTGTGTGCTCTTTCTTCCTTTCCAGCTCCCTCCCAGGGTGACTTTTCATCATGTAGCTCTCATGTCCGTGCCCATGTGTCCCATCATACAGTGTCATGGTCTGGGTGTGGGTAGAGACTCTGAGGATTGTAACCGTCCGAGTTCTTTCTTTCCCGTTGTGGAAGCCCCCGCCCCCGAGAATATTTCCCATAGGCTGCTGTGAGTTCATTGTGTTTGGAGGTAGTGGCCTTTGCAGTTATGAAAGGATGGATTGTAGGTTCCCGTGGAGAGCCAGTCTGGTACAGTGAGGCAGCCCCAGCTGGGAGGGTTTGTAGGTGCGGTATACAGCTGGAGTTTTTCTGGATTAATTCTTTTCCTTGGCTTGCAGTCTAACCCCACCACTACTATTCTCCTACTCCATCCACTACTTGGCTTTTTTATTAGTTACCTTTTAATTTCAAAAAACAAAAACACATTCCCCTCCCCGCTCCCTGCACACACACACACACACAGTTTCTCAGTTGACTGCAGTTCTCTGTCTAGGGGTGAGGCCTTGGGAGAGCTCCCTCTTCCTTGTTAGCGTATCTGTCGGTGTCTTCCTTGTTCGGGTCATGATTCGGCAGCCCGTGTGGATGAGATCTCACGGGGGTAGGTTCTGACATTTCTAGGAGATGCAGTCTCCCAGCACACTCCCCGTGGCCGTCCTCTACAGTCTTTCCACCCCGTCCTCGGCAATGACCCCTGAGCCGCAGGTGGAGGAACGTTTCGGACCGCTCTGGGTTTCTCAGCCCTTCGTTTGGATCACTTGCGGTTTCCTTTAATGGTCCCCACCTGTTGCAAAGAGACGTTTCCTTGACGAGGGACAAGGACTCACTGTGCTCGTATGTGAGCAGCCTAAGGACGCACATTTAGAGTGTAGCCCGGGCTTGTGTGCTGGTGTAGCACACAAGCGGTTGTCAGCTGTCCTAAATGAGCCGGGATTTCGGGAGCTCCGGGCAGTTGGCTAGATTTCCAGCGGCAGGCATGGTTTTCCTCTCATGGAGTGGGGTTTCAGTCCAATTGGAGAGCTGTTAGTTCCTGCCAATGTATGTGAGAATGGGAGAAACAGATTTACCCACGGAAGAGCATACCAACTGGTTAACCGGCAGCAAATGGTCGGCCTTGAAAACGTAACATAAAGGTAGCGTTATATGGACTGAGCAAGAGATTGCACTTAAGTATTCAAGAATATAAATATATGTGTGTGTGTATATATATATATAAATATATATATAAATATAAATATATATAATATATATATAAACTTACGTATGTAACATACATATATAGCATACAAATACATGAACAACAATTAGCAACAATTGAAGAGAGAGGGTCCATAAATTTGAAAGAGAGCAAGGGGAAGATACTTGGGAAGGTTTAGAGGGAGGTGAGGAAAGGGGGTAGTGATATGGTTGTATTATAAACTTAAGACATTTAAAAATATATTCGTAAAAAAAAAACCCACAAAAAGAAGAGTTAGAAAAACAGCTGTAGGGTTGGGAATTTGGCTCAGTGGTAGAGGGCTTGCCCAGCAAGTGCAAGGCCCTGGGTTCGATCCTTAGCTCCAGGAAAAAAAAAAAACAAAAACAAAAACAAAAACAAAACAGCTATAAAGTAGTATGCTACGGCTGAGGTCCTTTCTTCATAGGCCCAGTGAGTCCTTTTCTCACTAAGACACTCACAGTGTCCCTGAGAACAGTGTCCCCGAGAGAGTCCCTCTGTGTGCTCTGTATTGTACATGTCCATGTTGTTTTTCCTCCTGTAGGGGCAATTGAAGATTTCAAATGTACAACCAACAATATGCAGGTGTGGGACTGCGCGTGGACAGAACCCTTTGGGATCAGCCCTGGAACTGTTAAAGAAGTTTGTTTTAAAGACAGGTAATGAAACCCTGGTGTGCATCCAAAGCTGCAATCCACAGCTTCCTCCCTGGTTGCTTTAGACTGTGATCGTTTTGTTCCTAGATCTTTAAAGGACGTTTTTCACTCAATCTTCTATTTCCTAAAAGTCTAGATGGAAACAAAGTCCTCTGGCCAAAAGTTGGTTTTTTTCGTTGTATGTATAATGAAAGTGGAGCGCCCTCCACAGTGTACTGATCTGCTCAGGGTGCTGTACAGGTCCACTCCAAGCCCGTGTCTGCCTCTGTCACATCCAAGTCTGTGTCTGACAGAAAAATGCCAGCAACAGGGACAGCAGCTCCACACACACACAGAGGCTGACTCTCAGGGAAGTGGTCTGGGTGTGGGCAGTTCAGGGCTGGCACAGTTGTTGATGAGCTTGTCCTTGCTGGCTGGCTCTTTTGCCATCTTTTTGCCTGCAATCTCACGGTTCAAAGTGATGCATGAGGAGCAACCCTGCATTTGAAGAAAGCAAGCAAGGGAAGGAAGGATGGTTTTCTTTTTAGAAGACTCATAAGAAGTCCCACAAATCCCTTAGGCTGACACTGGCCAGATCTTGTCAGATGGCTAATAAGTCTGGCTCCTCAAGAGTCTTGGAGATAAGTTCTCTGAGCCGGGTGGCAATGTCCAGTAAGCAGTGGGTCCATGTAATTAAGGAGGAGGGTGAAATGGGTCTTGGGAGGTAGGGGAAGGCTCTCAACGTCACCTTATAGCTCAAATAAATGTTGGGTGGGCTTAACAATAGAGTGGAGGCCTACACAGTGCCCCTTACTTTTCTCTAATCCCAGCCAGACAATGAGTCACTTATCACAGCAAGCTTTTCCCCAAGTCCCAGTTTGCTAACAAGTGGTCCTGATATAAGCGGACATAACGCGTTTAAACACAGTTAGATATTCTCCTTCAGTGTGCATTTTCTAAGTATTATTGCAAGCACTGGGATGATTTATCAGTTAAGAGGGGTTGGAGTAGGTTGCAGAAACAGCGTTCAAATGTTTTGCTCATGAAAATGAAGGGCTGTTTTCTGCTTATGTTCTGATGTCAGCTGGGATTTCCACCGCAAGCCTCTTTGTATTAGGAGGTCGTTGGAAGGGAAGAGAAGAGGTAAAGTTTATGCTAACTTTTAGAACTTTCTTCCTGAAGTGGGTAACTGTGACTCTGATTCAGACTTCTCTGGCCACATAAAGTCACACGGCCATTCCTTGCTCTCAGAGGGGCAGGGGACAGTCTTAACAGGAGTCCAGGGGAGGAGATCTTGGAACCCTGGGTGTGAAGGCTGGCTGTGGCACACTGGGAAGAAACTTAGGTCCTGCTCACCAGAGCCTCACAACAACTCACAGCAGTACTGTGGGCAGCTTGCTGACTGAAGCGGACCATGACTTTCGAAGGAGCAGAGACCATGGAATGTGACAGAAAACACAAGGGCAGCTTCCTTTGCAGAAAGAGAGCAAGACTTCGTACCCCCAATGAATGTACGAGTGGTTTGGAGACTCCTGATGGCTTCGGGTCATGAGTCAAAGAAGCGAACCTGGAGGGTCAAGTTCAGAGTCTAAGCAAATGATGAGAGAGGGTTGTGCCCAGTGCTGGGTGAGGGCTGTGGAGCAAGAGGCCTGGGAAGTTCTTTTTTTTTTTTTTTTTTTTTTTTTCGAGACAGGATTTCACTGTGTAGCTTTGTGCCTTTCCTGGAACTCACTCTGTAGCCCAGGCTGGCCTCGAACTCGCAGAGATCCGCCTGCCTCTGCCTCCCGAGTGCTGAGATTAAAGGCGTGCGCCACCACCGCCCAGCGAGGCCTGGGAAGTTCTTATTAGTAAAAGTAAGAATGGAAATATGGCCCAGAGAGAAACAAGGACCGTGAAACCAGAGAAGAGATAGCGGTTGTCTGCGAGACTCTTCGGTCTAGAGGGGACTGGAGGCCTTTCCAAAGCCAGACCAAGTTCTGTTAGAGAAAACCCTGACTCTAGGCAGAGCCGTGGGTAAGAAGAGAGGGTGTGTGCAAAAGGACCTCTGTGTCCAGTCTTTCTTCTTCCCCCCGCCCTGGCCTCTGCTGAACCCTCTAGTGTGATGGTCCCTTCATCTTCTGTGCTGAAGGGAACAGCATGTGGAGCTGAGGCTGCCCTGGCAAGGCTGAGGCGGGATTTGAACAGTGCCTAGACGTCAAGGTTCCTCAGAGAGTCACCTCTGCTTGCTCTGTGCTCTCTGGTCACTTTTCCTCCTGTTACCATGAACTCCTCTGTTTGGCCTTAGCATATAGTACATACAACCCAACACTACACAAAGGTGTAGGGTATTCTCTAGTGCTTGTTACGCTAGTCAGGTTTTGATGAGCACGGCCCTGTGTTTATCTGCTATTTAAAGTTCCGTCTCTTTCCTTGCAGGCTCCGTTCTTGCCGTCGATTAGAGACAACAAACATTAAAATTCCAGCTCTTTTACCTGGTGATCATGAAGTAACCATCAATTACATAAATGGCTTCCAAAGTAAAGTCACACTGAATGAAAAAGATGTTTGTAAGTATTTAAAGGAGATCGTGGTTTGATTCATTATCATCGCTGGCACTTGCTTTTTGTCTTGGAGACGGGAGCTTGCTATGTATCCCAGCTGGCCTTGGGCTGGTGATTTCCAGCTCCAGGCTCCGAGGATCAGGATGAGAGGTTTTTGTCTCCACGCTGGCTGGAAATTAGTTTTAAATGGAACGAAGTCACTGTTAATGCCAGGGTGCTGGGGAGCTGTCGCAAACCTGTGATTATTTGAATTTCATTTTATGTTGCTGCTTCCGCTCACTCAGGGTCCTTGCTGAGGAAGGAAGCAAACGTGTCTTCCAGTTACAGTAGGTGACGCTGAGGTCCTTCCCTCACTCAGTTACTGGCCTGGCTCACTTTGTCTCGATGCCTGCGTATGTCCTGGCATTTCTCGGGTGTGCTTTGTTCTAGGAGTGTAGCCTCTGGCTGCCCCAGAGGGGACCCCATCCCACTGCTCACTCACACTTGGCATGCTGTAGTTCTTTTTGTGTGTGTTGGGGGGAGTTGTTTTTTTGTTTGGTTTTTGGTTTTTGGTTTTTCGAGACGGTTTTCTGTATAGTTTTGGTGCCTGTCCTGGATCTCGCGCTGTAGCCCAGGCTGGCCTCGAACTCACAGAGATCCGCCTGGCTCTGCCTCCCGAGTGCTGGGATTAAAGGCGTGTGCCACCACTGCCGCCCGGCACATGCTGTAGTTCTTTGTGGCAATTTCCCTCAATTGAATTCATAGTCTAGTGTGTATGTTAGATGTATACCGTGTGTCTTCTCCACAGGAAGTATGTCCTTTGAGGGAAGGGACAGGGACTTTGCGCTCTGCCCTGTGCACAGGTATTTGAACAGCTAGGACATTGGCCACCAGTGTACAGGAAGCACAGAGACACCTCAGGGAGACAGATGGAACTTGACATTCACGGGTTTCTCACACGGCAGCAAAGAGTTTCGTTAGTTTGTGACCAGTGATAGGATGGCGTTGTAATAACATGATGAACCGTATAAGGCTGCTGACTTCCAGGCAGTGGTAAGAAGGGAAGCAAGCTAACTCTGATTCATCCAGACCTGTGGAGTGGTTATGTCTTGGGGAAGATCTCTGTCAACCTAGGCATTTGAAAGAATAATAAGTCGCTCTCGACTACTGGCTGGTGGAGGTAAAGCATTTGCCATGCGGACCTGGCAATTTGAGTGCAGTCTCCCAAGTCACGGCAGAGTGGAAGGAGAGAATAGATTCCACAGGTTGTCCTCTGACCTGCACACGTGTGTTGGTCTCTCTGTGTGAGAGGGGGCATGGAGGGGGATGCTATCCAGGACATTTTGCAATTTAAATTCCTTTCTCTATGGTCAGTTCTGCGTTTTTAAGAGAGCAAGTTAAAATTGTCCTCAGATGTCTGTTTTGGTCCAAAAGACAGGTAGATTGCAGTTCATGGGGCCCCTGGGCAGCTTGCTTTGCTATTATGATGAGAAGGGAATGAAGAGTGGGTTTTTCCCTCTGAAATCCTTTCATTTGTAATCATGGCCTTCACTGTCTCTCAGTGGAAATAGGGAGGGTGACCTATGTTTGGCAGTCACCCACCTGCTAAAGAGTAGATTGCATGGATTTCTGAGGAAAGGAAGGATCTTTCTTCTTTTTGCTCTACATATTGAAATGTTTTATTTAAAAAATACTTTTTCATATGACGTATTTTGATCACCTTTCTTCTCCCCCAAGTCTTCCCAGGTCACCACCTCCCTGCTCACCCTAATTCATGTTGTTTTGTGTTCTCTCACTCTCTTTCAAAAATCAAACAAACAAAAGAAAAAAAGAAATCAAAACAAAAACAAGCGAAACCTCACAAAGCATACAAAAGACATGGAGTCCATTCTGTTTTAGACAACTCTTCCTGGACCTGGAGCCTGCCCCGGGGTGTGGGTGATATCCCCAGTGACACTCCACTGGAGAACACTGGTTTCCCCTTTCCCATCCAGTATAACTTGCAAATAGCTTCTTGATTAGGGGGTGGGGCTTTGTGTCCACGTCCCCTTCTCAGTGCCGTGATCTTGTCTAGTGTGAACCTGTGCTGGTCTTCTGCATGCAGTCACTCTCTGACTTGATTCATGCTTCCGTCCTGTTGTGTCTGGAAGATGGTATTTTCTTCAGCCGGTCCACCACTTCCGGTTCTTACAGTCTTTCTGTCTCTTCTTTTACATAGATCCCCGATCCTTATGGGGAGGGGTTTGATAAAGACACCCCATTTAGGACTGAGCGCTCCAAAATTTCTCACTCTCTGAACATTGTCCAGTTGTGGGTCTCTGTGTTAATTACTGTCTACCACAATAAGAAGCTTTTCTGATGAGCATCAAGCAGTGCTCTCATCTGTGGGTATAGAATAAGTCATTCTATTCCTATGATCCTTAGGAGAATAATAGTGGTAGGTTTTTCCCTAGGTCCCATGACTTACCTAGTCTCAGGTTCTTTGCCACGTTAGAATGCCATGTATGGGTTCCATCTCATGGAGTAGGACTTAAAATTCCAATCAGAATGTGGTTGGAATAACCTTTGTGCTGCTACTGTAGCAGCATATCTTGCAGGTAGGTTGCTATTGTAGGTCACAGGTCTTGTATTTGGAAGTTTGTGGTTACTTTTCTCCTCCAGTAGTGTGCAAAAGTGTCTTCCAGTACCACAAATGCTAGTCAGTAGGGGTGACACTTCTAGTTGGGTACAGCTCAATTTCCCCATGTTCTATGACATAAGGAAGTTGTGCCTTTAGCAACAGGGCCTTACCATCTCATTATGAGGGTAACCAATAGAGTTGGCAATAGTCTGTGATGTTTGGGGTGGTGGGTGTGGGACTTCTTTGGCCAATGACTCAATAAGATATAACCCATTTCTAGCATTGGAGGTTTTACTTACTTGTTGGCCTAATATGTCTGATTGGGGCATTGTCTCCCCCATTGCATGGTGGCTCCTTTCCAGTTCCATTCATATATGTTTGTATTTTTGGAAGCTCCTACAGTAATAGGTTTCTGTATGACTCATCAAAAGGCCTTTAGGGTTAGCTGTAGGAAAAAAAAAAAGCATCCTTCCTGGGATAACACTGCTACAGTTCAGCATGCCCGTTTTGTCGTGTTTAAGTTACTACACTGATACTTTGAATCACCCTTGGATGCTGTCAGCTCTGTCCTGATCATGCTGGCTCCTGAACCAGCCCTCTCTCGGCACCAGATCCACTTTGTGCTTCTGATTAACTCATGCGCTCTCCTTCTCATGCAGCTTCTACTTCGGGGTTCTCTGTGAAGCGTGCTCCATGCCCGTGTAGCTGACATGCAGATGACTTGGTTACATAGCGCAGACTTTAACTCCACACACCACAGATCACGTAGGGCTCTAAATATTGTCTGGTGTAAAATACTGTGGTCAGCAGATTTTAGTAAGACCAAATTTTACAAACTTACTTTTAGGCTCCAAGACCGACAGATGAATAATGGTTTATTCTGCCGTTTTTTTTTTTTTTCCCCCATGTTTGGCAGCCAGCCAACTTACCCTAAACATTTACTCCTGCGGTTTCTCAGTTACCGTGACTTTATTTAGTGGCCCTTGAACTTCATAAGTTATGACTAGAAGTGAGAGAAGAAAGGGTATGTCTCTGGACTTCCTCTAACTTATCTTCACATGCCTAACACTGGAGGAAGAATCTTGCAAGAACATCTGTTTCTCTGTTTCTGCCCCTGGCAAACCCAAGTTTCATAGACGAGGTCACACGTGGACCTCATCCCCCGCTGATCTGAGGCTTTTGGTCATGTGCCGTGGGCAGGGGTTCTGAAGACATGAGCATTACTTTGCCTGCTACCTCATTTCGCTTACAGCTTCCCTTCACCCATGCCCGAGTTCTTGAGGTATCTTTTTACTTCCTGTAATTCAGTGTGAGAGCCCCAGCTTTCCCAAACCTCCTGCAGTGAGCCCGGATGAACCCTTCCTTCTATGGGTTGCCTTGGCCCAGGTGTTTGAACCCAGCAGCAGAAACGCAGCTGTACAAAGGATCCATCCTCTCGCCCCTGACTCTTTGCGCGCCTTCCTTCTGCCTGAACACTGTCTTCTTTGGACGTTTTGACACCTGCTGCTTCTCAGCTCCAGCTCCGTGGCCCTGCATTTAGTCTCTTTGAGCCCTTTCCATCTCTGGATTCTCGCTGGTGTGACCAACTCCTTGAAGGTGCCCTTGTTTGCTGCAGCCTTTATATCTGTGGCCACATTCCTTTCCGCAGCCCCACCCAGCAAGCTCCTCAGGGCTCCATACATTGGTTCCGCTGGTTGTTCTCCCAGAGCAGACGTTCTGCCCGCCTCTCTCCTTCCTGGCGCTGCCATCCCCGGCCAACAGCTGGCATCTTCCCACGGCCTTTCGTGCCATTTCCTTTCTGCTGCTTCCTGGGAGCTTGTGGGGACCCTTGGGAGAAATCTTCATTATTTCTCTCTCCTCGTGGCGACTCCTTCATTCCCCCATCCAGTCGTTTCTTCCAAGCAGATATCTGTCTTTTCCCTCATTTGACATTATAACCCATAGCCTCCGGCTCTAGCCAAGATTTCTCCAGCACTGGCCCGGCTGATGGCTGATCGGCTCGTGTCTGTCTCAGGCCCCTGCACACTGTGCTGATCACCGCCGAGGCAGGCCTCTCTCGGCTCCTCCGCTGCCCCTCTTCACAGTTAGCCTTTGGCTTCTGCGCTGGGTGCCAAGATCATTAGAACAGTCTCTGGTGTTTAATGACACCCGAAGCTTGGAGCAGCCCTCCGGATTCTTTAAGTGGGTGGCGCCTCCTCATATGAGGCTGCTGGGAGACTAGTGGGAAGCAGCAAGAGCAGAGACCCTTTCCCAGCTGTCCATTTTTCTTTCTTTCTTTCTTTTTTTTTTTTTTTAGGCTCAGCCTGCCGACACCCCAAACAAGCTCTTTGACTGCTCTCTTGCAGGTCTCCTAAGAGGAGGAGGTAACACTAGAGTATTGTGGGAACCCTGCTGCTCTCTGCAGTGGGAAATGTGTTAGGTCTTTGAAACGGCCAGCTGACGGTTTTCTCAGGTTTGTCCCGTTAATCACCGGGGAGCTGGCTGTACAAATAAAAACGTGTTGTGTGTTTTTGTCTGCCCCACCTCCCCCGCTCCAGTTTAGAAGTCACTGATAAATTGAAGTACAGTATGAAAGATCCCTTACTCACTTGACTAAGAGTTTTTGCTTTTCTTTTCCTATTTGAAGCTTTATTTCCAGCTACTCCTGAGATTTTGAGTTTGTCTGCTGACTTCTCGACCTCCACGTTACTCCTGAAGTGGAACGACGGAGGTTCTGCCCTGCCACACCCCTCGAATGCCACCTGGGAAATTAAGGTCCTTCAGAATACGAGCGCGGAACCCATCAAATTAGTAAGTTGGGACAAAAAGACATTTCCCCGGGATACTAAAGAAACCACACAGCTTTTAAAGCTTTCCAGGCGGCACCCCTGAGTTCGGAGGTTATTGAAGAAATACATCGTTTATCTTTCAGGGTTCTTTAAAAAACCACTCGTGGGCTGGCAGGATAGCTCAGGGGTAAAACATGAGCCATACAAGTCCGACTGCTGGAGTCTGATCCCTGGAACCTATAATGGGAAGAGAATTGAATTCTGGAAGTTGTTCTCTGACTTCCACATGTACACTGTGGCAAATGCGTGCCCACACTTACATATACACACAGATAATAACAAAAAAAAATAGAAATAATTTTAAAAAAATCGCTTGTGTAATAGAAAGTTTAAGAAACTAAGGGAGAGCTATTCCCCCGATTCTACCATTTGGATACAGTAAATGCCCAGCCTTTTAAATACACATGCCCTTGCATAAATGAAATTAAAGCTTATTTTCAGTTTATTTTATTCAATATGTTATCTTTGTCTACTATTATACATAAAATATTTAAAACATTTACTCATAATAACAATAAAATAATAATTGAGAAATCAGCAAGCTTTAAGTTACCAGCCTGAAACATCGTTATATCCAGTACTTGTCCTTTCTTCCTCTCTCCACTCACTATTTCAGTGGTTTTCCATGACTTACACTTACTTTATTCTTATTCTAAGACAGAGGAACAGGTATGAAAAGCTGAACAGGCGGCATGTGGATACCAGCACAAGAGGAGTGCTAAGCAGTGGTGTTTCATTTAAGGCACATGCTGTATACAACTACAGACAACGTTCCACACACCCGGAGATGGGTAGAGGGAGGCCGTCAGCTGTCCAGAACTGCTCTCCGCCCATTTCCCACTTGTCTCTCCTTGGGAACAAGCTTGTATTTGTATATTGAGACCGGGCATCACTGTAATTTGCAGGTCTCCCACCTCAACCTTCCTACTGCTAGATTACAGCTCTGTTTAACTCCATTAGCTGATCCTTTCCATCAATTCTCCCCATTTTCCCAAATAACATACTTACATTGCCATTTCTTTACAGTTTTCAGCAGGGTTGTATTAACTGCCCCGGTGGAAGATGAGAGGCCTTTCTTCTTTCTTCTACTAACTCATCATGTCTCTGGTTCCCTGGCCTCCTGGCTCCCTGGCTCCCTGCTTCCTTCCTCTCTTCATTCCCATCCCACTTTCCCAGCTTCTTCAAATATAGTTGAACTATTACAGGTGGACTAATAGTCTTAGTATTACAGTTACATAAATACTAGTTTCAACCTTACCTTTTCTGTGGAACCTCTTGTATCTTACTAAATTTTCTTTTTCCACTTAGTCAATTCAATACCAATTTCTCTGCGGGTCATATGAATGTCCTTAGAATGTTCCAATATACTAGGTATTTCTTTTTTCTGTTTGTCTTTTTCTGTTTGTCTTTGTGTGTCAATCTATCTGCGGCCCTCCTCTCTAGACACGGATGGCATTTTTATAGCAGCGTGGTAAATTGCGGAGGCAGTGATTTTAACTTTAATTGTCCGAAGATTAACACGCCTGCTATTATAATGAAGGTGACAATTAGAAGTTTCAGCTGTCGCTTTTGCAAGTGTGAAAGGCTAGCCAGAGGAAGGCAGGTACAGCATGTCTGGTGCAGGGCTGCTCGTTTAACTCAGTGGAGTTTACAGGTTGGGAAGTTTTGTCAAGGTTTTGAAGGTAATACTCCCCTCCTCACCAGTGTGGATGTAGCTCCGCCCACATCGCTGAGCACAGAGGGTCTCACTACATCACTACAGTCTAACCTGTTACCCTAGGAACTTATTTTATTCCTTTGGTTTCTTTTTTTTTTTCCTTTTTTCTTCCAACCTTTTTTCTTGAGGAAATGGGCCATCACACTAGTTTTCTGGTTGTCTTGTTTTTCTGGTTTCCTACCTGACCTTTGCTCTATTTTCTTTATGTGTGGTCCTTCTTTTTGGCTTTACTTCTTCAAGATAGAGTTTTTCGTCTATGAGAATTTGGAAATCATTTCTATAACAACGTATTTCCTTAGCTGCCTTATTGAATGTTTTAATGAGTGTCAACACCTGTATAGTAATTCAGTAGGACCTAATGTTAATAAAGGAACTTAACTGAATAATGTTTGTGTTAGTCTAACTTTCTTGTTAGAGTTTATAATGGTGGTTCTCAACCTGTGGGTCACGACCCCTTTGGGATCACATACCAGATATCCTGCTTATCAGATATGTACATTACAGTTTGTAACAGTAGCAAATTACAATTATAAAGTAGCAATAAAAATAATTTTGTGAGCCGGGCGGTAGTGGTGCACGCCTTTAATCCCAGCACTCGGGAGGCAGAGGCAGGCGGATCTCTGTGAGTTCGAGGCCAGCCTGGGATACCAAGTGAGCTTCAGGAAAGGCGCAAAGCTACACAGAGAAACCCTGTCTCGAAAAAAAAAAAAATAATAATAATTTTGTGATTGGGGGTCACTGCAACATGAGGAACTGTATTAAAGGGTCTCAGCATTAGGAAGGTTGAAAACTCATTGTTTTATAGAAAACAGGCCATTGTATGAACGTGCAGTCCATTTACCTTTGTAAGATTCCTCTGTGGGCTGATTGCACATGCCCTATGAGGTCTTTCTGTTTGTTCGTTTATCCTGGAGAAAGACGGAGCCTACCACTATCGGAACTATAATTTTGTGTTTATTTGTAGGTATCATTCAACACAACACTAAGTGGTAAAGATACAGTTCACCACTGGAATTGGACCTCAGACCTGCCCTTGGAATGTGCTCCTCACTCTGTGGGGATTAGATGGTACATTGACTATCCTCGCTTCTCTGGTTCTAAGGGGTGGAGTGACTGGAGCCTGCTCAAGACCGTCTCTTGTAAGCTTCCTTTTATAGATCCTTGCTCCTCACAAGTTAGAAGGCTCAAGAGTAAGGGTTCGAATCTGTTCTTTGTTCTCCTAAAGTGGCTACCCCAGAGCTTGGATTAGAGTCTGAGCCTGGCTCCAGAAGGCTGTGCTAAAAGTCGTTTGTTAACTAGAACTCTCCTGACAGCTGGATGGAAAATGCTGATAGTGAGAGGCCAAGGTCATCAGTGACAATAAAATGAGGTCTAGAAAATGTGTGGTGTTCATTACAGGTGGACACTCTGTGGAGCAACATCAGATAAGGAAGGACCGGAAGCAGCTGGGTAAATAAGGAGAATCTGGCCATTGAGCAAGACACTGTAAATAGAACTCAGGACAGCTGAGTTTAGAAGTAAGAGGGATGAGATGTGAGAGGAAGAATCTGATTTAGGGAGTGGGTGCTTATGGAGAGATAGAAGATGAACCCACGGTGTCTGTTACTTTGGGTGGCTGGGGAGGCTGTCCACAGAGAAGCAAAATACAGGAACCAGTTGGGTAGGAAAGCACAGTTTCATCTTTAATACGCTGAGCCTGAAGTAGTGAGGTTGGAAATGTCAATCTGGCATCCAGAGACATGGTACATGTAGCTGGAGATGCCCCTTCGGGAATCACAAATCTGTATATGATCTGAAGGCCAATGTATCTTTTGGAAAGGAGAATTGGAAAGCTTGGAAGGTTCCACTTAGAAGCTCTCCTGTCTACAGAAATACTGAAGGAAGGCCAGTAGCCTGAGGACTAAGAGTAGCCCAGAAAGTTTAGTATGGTGGAACCCAAGAGAGGAGGGAGTTTGGACAATGAATCAGAAGGGGTCCTTGGATCAAACATGGGACCAGGGATCCACTCTAGTAGATTAGTGGAGGTGGGAGCCAGATGGCAGGGAAGAGTGAGGGGTAGAAACATGGCCAGAGGCCATTGTATAACGATCAGCTGTTAGGCGTGGAGCTGGGGTTCATGACCTTAACCAGCAGAGTTGTGATTAAAGAACCAGCTGCTGGTTAGGATGTAGAGTGCTTCCGACTTGTTGGCTGATGAGAACTAAATCTGCTCCACACACACAGGGTAGTTTCTAAGAAATAAACTTACCTGTTGAGTGATATTTTCTGTGCGCATATAAACCCTTAAACATTAACCTATGACCATCGGCAGATTGACCTGTGATCTGTCTCTGTCCCTGGATAAGTAAATAAGGCCACAGTTTCTTGTCTGTGTCTTGTTGGTTGGAAACCTGAGAGACCTGCATTATTTTCACACATCTACGATACATCCTGTAGATACTGAACTAGTTTAAGCTCAGCTTAGGAGTCAAGTATGGTGGCTTATGACCGTTCAGCAGAGACAGGAGGATTACTGCAAGTGTTAGGCCAGCCTTGGCTCCATGGGGAATTCCAAGAGAACCTAGGCTACAGCATAATACCTTGTTTCAGAATAATGAAAACAAGGGCCTCTGTTGGTAAAGCGCCTGCCACTCGAGCAGTTCTGTGACCCCAACTTTGAGTCCTTAGCATCTAAGCTGGGCGTGGTAACATTTGCAACCCTAGTTCTGGAAGGTTGGGTACAAGCAGATCCCTGGAGCTTTTTCTTCAGGCTAGCTTTGTTGATGAGGCCCAGGTTCGGTGAGAGCCCCCATCTCAAAAGGCCAAGTGGAGTAATGTTGAGAAAGACACCCCCCATGTCAGCTTCTGCTCCATACATGCACACACCTACATGAATACATGTATACATCACACACATATGAAAATAAGTAAGTAAATACATAATTGAAAATAGAAGGCAAAAAAAGATGTTCTAAGGAGACAGTTTTGTGGAAAAGATGTCTGACATTCCTCTTGTTTCTTTCTAGGGACTCCTAACTCTGAGAGCATTGTCTTCCCTCAAGACAAAGTGATTCTTGCAGGCTCGGACATAACATTTTGTTGTGTAAGTCCAACGAAGGTGAAGTTTGGACAGATTGGCAGTACACCTCAAACTCTTATCCATCTTTATGGGGAAAGCGTTGCCATCCATATCCGGAATATTTCTGTTTCTGAGAACAGTGGAACAAATGTGGTTTTCACAACAGACGATAACGTGTATGGAACGGTTGTCTTTGCAGGCTGTAAGTATATCATGTTAAGTAGCTCCTTCTAGCCTGTGTGGGCCCTCGTCCAACCTTAATCTCTTTTCTGCTAGCTGATTCTCTTTCTTCTGTATTTCCTTGTCATTAATGCAAATACTATACAAAGGCTCTAGAACCCTTGTATAGGAGCCTGGAACTTATTCCCTACATACCTATTTCTATATCAGTTCTGAGTTTCATATTAAGGTTGAGACATCTAGCAACTGAAGTTGAATTTAAATTCCTAACTTCATAGTTGAGTCAAAGCCCTTAGGATGTGTAGTATTTCTTCATTGGATATCGCTTAGGAATAATTTCATACAATTAGTTTCCCATTTAACCAATGTAAGCTCTTAAGTACCCAGGTTTAAATATTATGGTGATTTTGATAGCATTCTGTATCTTTCCCAACCTTTAAGTAGCGTATTTGAGGACGACCTGAAGATGAAGGGTGAGAAGTCTTATTCTTCAGGTAGTCTGCCTGTACTGTGGATGCCCTTGCTCAGGGAGACCTTTAAGGTGATTGATCACTCCTGAAGCCTAAAATGTGTCTGGATATTGTAGTGGTGGGCTGCTCTGCCCATGCAGCTTGTGTCGGATGTCCTCAGATAATTACGTGTTTGGGACTTTTAGTTTTACCTCCTCCCATATGGTGCCACCTGCAGCAATGATGCCCTTGTTTCCGGTACTGTGAATTTGTAAGTTCTAAGGTGGGTCTCTGGGTCTCATGGTTCAAGGCATGTGAGATAGTTTGGGAGGATTTTCTGATGTTTCTTTAGTCTCTTCTAGTGATTTCTCTCTTGTCACTTAGTAAACTATTGTAGCACTACAGGGTCTTGGATATCGTTGGCTGAATTTATTCCTAGCTACTTGATGTTTTTGTATGTTATTTTAGCTTTGGTTTGGGTTTTGGAGACATGGTCTCATTGTATATCCCTAGTTGGCCTGGAATTCCTAGGTCATCCAGGGTAGGCTTGAATTCAGAGATCAGCCTGCATTTACTAGAGGGTAGGATTAAAGGTGTGTGCCACCATGGCCCCACTTAATAGCTTTTTAAAAAATTGCATTTTATGTTTGCTGCTGCATTAAAAAACAGGCCATTTGTATCTAGATTTACCTAACCTCAATTTAATTCTTTTATAAGTTAATTTGTTTGATCAGGAAATCAATACATTTCAAATATTTTCCTCTCATTTTTTCTCCTGTCACACCCCCGTTTCTTTTTAATTTATTCTTATTATTTGGACTTTAAATAGATTACTTAAATGTTCACACTCCACATCCTAAAATAATCATCATTCTAAATATATTCCAGATTTCCACATGTAATTGTAATAAAGTAGTGGGTAATTTTGCCTTAGGTTTAAAATAACTTTCAAAATAAGCATACCAATGTTTATTTAATTGTCTAATTGTAAAACTGTCAGTGAAACATTCACTAATTATCCTCAGTATTAGCTAAAATGTCATTGGAGGAGCCTGTGAAATCTCAGCAAATAAGGACACTCGCCACACAATCCTGTGACTTGACTGTGGTCCTTGGAACCCACATAAAAATGGAGAGAGAGAGGCAGCTCCACCCAGTTGTCCTCTGACTTCCACACAGGCTCCATAGCACAAATGCCCGCACCCATCACGCACACATGCAGTATTAATAAACAAAAAAACTTAAAGCATTCCTAGGATCTCTAGGGAGAGTATAGGAAGAAATTCTATTTTGGTTGACAAGTAGGTACTACTTGAAAAATTCAGTTCTTTTGAAAAACAAAATTACTGTTACAGAATATTTCACCAGGCAGATACATGGTTTTTAACTCTCACAGAAAATGAGAACTATTTGTGTACATGCAGCAATAGGATAGATCAGTGTCTACTTATGTTTGGTGACATATGACTAGAGAGATCAGTTTCTACAGTCAAGTGCCAGGCTGTGGCGTTCTTAGCTATCACTTTAAAGTTTTTGCACCTTCCTCCCAGCATTTACCTTTTTCTTTTTCCTCTTCCCCAAAGTAAAGGCAGATCAAACTGCTTCTGTATCTGCCACGACTTTTGGCAGGCTCGATACTTCTTTCTCAATCACAGTGTGTAAACAGATGGCAGATGACAGTCGTTCCAAACTGTAGATTCTGTTGACTTAACTCAGAAGACTTTGAGGTCAAGTTTAAGGGAAAAGAAATTTAGTTCATCTCTCAAGTTGCTGTTGGGAGTTTACACACCAGCCGAGTTGAGAGTCACTCTTTAGAGTATTTTAACCTAGTATTTCTAATGCGATACAAACTATAACAACCCATCTTGCAGAAACAGCAATAATTGCTGCACTATTCAGAGGAGGAAATGTATAAACAGCAAATTATTTTAAGGGAGTGACCCAAAATCTCATTTAACATACCATGAAACTGCAGTTTGGGGGAAAATATATGTAACTACTTTGTTTTTCTTTTTCCTTTTAGATCCGCCTGATGTTCCCCAAAAGCTGAATTTTGAGACACATGATTTCAAAGAGATTATATGTACCTGGGATCCAGGGAGGCCAACAGGTCTGGTGGGCCCACGAGAAACAGATTACACTTTATTTGAAAGGTAATGGTAGCCAGGAGAGAGCGTTGGTAGCTAGAACCTCAGAAGGACCTGTTGAGTGCCATAGGGAGTCTGGTCCACTGCTGCCACGCAAGTGACCAGGCTGTGTTGGCATCCTCTGTCCTGTAACAACTGCAGATGGCCACCATACAGTTGCCGTTCTATACCTCCTCCGTCCGAAGCCTCACAAGAGGGGCCCCGGATAAAGGCTGTCGAGGTGGTGGCAGTATGTCCGGTCATTTTCTATATCATACATCATTTCCTTGAGTTTGTGATCAGTCTTTAATTAGAAACAGACTTCTTACAAAGATTAGTAGAAATCTGCCCATGTTTTTTTTTCCCTCCTCAATATTTGTATCTTACGATCCTGAAGTTATCTTTCTTTTTAACTGACAGCATTTCGGGAAAAATCATCATACATAAAAGACCGGACACACTTACAAATGAAAGCTATCGATTAGTCTTCCCAGTGCTTCCAGACCAAGAGATCTATAACTTCACCCTGACTGGTCGGAACCCACTGGGACAGGCAGAATCGGTAGCAATCATCAATGTAACTGAAAGAGGTGAGTCCCTGTTGCCAGCCAGTGCCTATAAATAACTACAATAAAAATAACACGTGATACGCCTTGGGACTCATGGAAAGTGACTACAGGGATTAGTGTTCATTGGTTATTTTCTTGGGAGTTTTTTTTTTTCACTTTTATAATTAATATATCTTATGATTTTTATCTTAAAGCATTAAAACGAATACCTTCAAATTTGACGGGTTTTTTTTTTTTTTGTTATTGTTGAAGTAAAAATTTGAGTCATTTAGATGGAAACTATACAAGGCTTGGTCTACTCATTCTTGATTTCTGGACATTGTTTTTTTGAACAGTTTTTGAAAATATTTACAATATTTTTTGGCTTAGAAGTTATTGCAAAAATAAGGAATTGTAACTTTGTGAATCCTTCCGTCTTTCCTCAGTGGTGACAACAAAACCAGTATGGTGGTTCTGAGGTTGTCTACGAACCTAGATGATTCATCACGCTCAGTTTTGTGTGCATTTTCGAGTGTGTGTTTACACGTGCTGGAGGGGCGACATTGGCAAGTTCCTTTGCATTGCCTGGGCAGTGTGTATCTCAGTGTGATGGCGGCTACCTGTGTCTTCACACAGATTCACCCCGATCCTGAGCCACACGGAAGTCGTGTAGCAGTCAGCATCGTTACCACACACACACACACACCTCGGAGAGATGGCTGTCCGTTACTCTTTGTATTTGTCGTTCTCCGAGTACACTACAAGTCTCCTCAACATATTTTGATCTCCCCACCGCCTAGTAGTCCCAGCACCAGATGAACAACCTTGAGCACAATTGGTTCTCTGAGAGCATTGGTGTGATGCTAACAGCTAAAATAAGGCTCGTGGGCTCCACACAGACTGTATTGCTTTTTGGCAGTCGTAATACCCCTTTGCTCTTCTGCTCACCACATACACATACACTCTGGTTCTGGATTGTTCTTGCTAGGGAGACCTTTTCACCCTAAACATTTACAGGCATTAATCTTTATGATCCTATTTACAGTTGCTCCTCATGTGCCTGTTTCGCTGAAATTGAAGGACATCAATTCAACAGTTGTGATACTTTTCTGGCATTTACCAGGAAATTTTGCCAAGATTAATCTCCTATGTCAAATTGAAATTCGTAAAACTAATTCAGAACAAGAAGTGGTACGTAAAATTCTCCTATAAACTTTCCTTTTTGGTTATTATGAATGATAATAATACTTGATTATATATATAATATATTTATTAATAATGATAATAATAAATAATAATCCCAGTTTCAAAAATACTTAAAGCAAACTGACACATAGGAACTCTCAAAATATTTTTTACAGAGATGCACTAAATCAGCAAAGACCTTCCATACAAATGTAATGGCAACATTGTAATTTGCCTTTGAAACAATTATAAAACTGGACAGCCAAGACCATAAGTTCAACTTTTTGCTGTTCCGAACGTTCTCAGGCTGAGTGTGTAATACCCGTATAGAGCTGGTATGCAGTAAGTTTTGTGATTAAGAATTAGCTTTGACTGTAGCCTTTGACTAACTGGCACCAGAGAGTAGAAGGGAATTTTCAATTATTAAGTGCATCAGTGGAAGCAGGTTGTAATTGGTAATTATAAGTCAAAACAGGACTTTTTAAAAAAATACATTTAAAATAATTAGATTGACTTATACTTTACCCTTTTGTAATTTGTGCAACTCTGAAGTAAATGGTTCTGTAGTTGAACATTAATTTGGAAATTCACTGGTTTCTGTAAAAGCATTCAGAAGTGCACAGTGTGACCTGAAAAGCCACTTTGTAACAAGCAGCTGAGAGTTCCGAGATTTTCCTGGCACACTCATCCTCAAATTTGTGTAAAATTGCTTCATTTTAATGTTACTTGTTTCAATTGAATTTTTTTTTTTTTGTCTATTTCCTACATGTTCAGTACCATCCTAGAGGCTTTAGGTGACTTAGGCACACGGCTAAACCATCCCATTTGCCTCCAGGATGATTTCCAGTATCTGTGGAATAATGTATTTAATCCTCAAGTTCATCCCTTATTACCAAAGTGGGTTAAAGTTTAATGGTCACTAGTTATTAACTGATTACCAGTACAATGCCTGTATAATTTAACTGACCGTTATTATTTAGATTTAATAATTAGATTAAAAATGCATCCCAGTATTTTATTGGCTATTCTATATGTTAGGTCCCGAGATAAATCCTTTTTCCAGAGACTGGCATTTAGACAAAAGCCAACCTTGTCTCGGGATTTAAGAAGATAGTTCCTCCTTCTAAAAGGGGTCATTCTCTTTATCTCTGGCAGGAGGGACATATGGCTCCTCCATTAACCTAGGGCTGTGGTGCCTGTTAGCATATCAAAGTCTGTGAGCTGAGCGGGTCTCTAGACTCACTCAGTCCCTACTCATAATATCTGTTACAGCGTCATCCTGGGTGGCATGCCCCACCCCCTACCCTAAGCCTCTCTAGCCCCTGAGCTTCCCTTCCCTTCCCCCAGCTTCTCTTATTCCTAGATAACACAGTCATTTTGGCTGCATGCTCTCTTGGCTCCCACGTGCTCTCTTTGTTCCCTCTCTCTGCTCTTCCTCTCCCAAGCCCCATGTCCAGGCTACTCAGTCTGGCAGTGCTCCCCCCATGGCTACAGTAAAAACCTTCTCCTCAACCATACATACCCAGGAGCAGTCATGAACTCCTTTTCATTCACTATGGAACATAATTGTATGGACAAAGTATTTCATAAGAATTAAAATACCATGAACTGGACTGTTCTAGTCGCAAACTGGTGTGGCATGTGTGGATTAGGTTACAAGTGTAGATGGGTTTTTTACCAAAAAGTATAACGTGTATGGGCATATTATGTATTCATACACACATGACATATACATATAAGCACCCATATTTATTTACTTGTCTTCAAATAGCGGAATGCCACACTCAAAGGAGCCGAGGATTCCACTTATCTTATGGCTGTGGACAAATTAAGTCCATATACTACATACACTTTCCGGGTGCGTTGTTCTGCTGAAACTTTCTGGAAATGGAGCAAGTGGAGCAATGGAAAGCGGCATTTAACCACAGAAGCCAGTAAGTTAAGGGATGTGGTTAATTACTAATGGGGAGATGGACGGCTGCAAGATAGGGAGACGCCCGGGGACAGTCGTGCGGCCAGGAGAGCGACTTGAACCCGTTTTCTAGGCCCTTGTCTTCTGTAGAAGCTGAGAGCTTAGCTACATTTAGCACTTCTCAGTTGCTTCACTTTATAAATGGAAGCCACGTGTTAGGGATAATTCTTGCTACCCTAGAGTGAAGTTCCAGGCACCCCCATGTTAGTCACTGATACGGTCCACTGCCTTGCAGTTTGTGTCTTCAAATTCTGACTTGTAAATCTCTTCCCTAGTTCCTTCAAGGGCACCGGATACTTGGAGAGAGTGGAGCTCTGATGGAAAAAACTTAATTATCTATTGGAAGGTAAATATCTTTTGTTGCCTTAGGTGCTTAAATTTTTTTTATTTATTTTTTTATTTATTTACATAAATGCTTAATGTACAAGTGGTAGCTTGGTTTTTGTGAATACTTTACATTTTACTTGCTCATGTCGTATTGAGCTGTACTGACAAATGGTCCATGGAACACAAAGCCACTGAAATGTGTACAAGGAGCTGAGGCTTCCCAGACAGGCTAAGTTTGCCATCTCCCAACCCCATGTTTCTCTTCATTCCTGATTCCCCTGGCGCTGAGAGGGGGTCTTGCCTCAGTCATGAGCACCCTACATTGATTTTTATGAGGCCCATACCACCGTGTGTGTGTGTGTGTGTGTGTGTGTGTGTGTGTGTGTGTGTGTGTGTGTGTGTTTGTTTGTTGTGCCTTGTGGCTCCCAGGGATTGAACTTAGATCTTCAGGCTTGGCGGCAAGCCCCCTTACCTGCTGAGCCCTCTTGCCAGCCCTTCTTTTGATTTTTGTGTATTTCCTAGGGTTCTTGTAACAGTCACATAATACGTAAAAGGAGAAAAGAATTCATAGGCTAGAACACCATGCCATGCTGCCTTGTTTCCTCTAGTAGGTCAGTCCTTCAGGCCACGTCTTACATTTTTGCTTCTGGAAATTATAAAAATAAACAGTTTTATATTATTTAATGTCTAAATTACTGTGAACTTTTAATACTTAACAGCAAGTGTGGCTCTTTTTTAGTATTTCATGCCTTTTTTTTTTTTTTACCATAATCTCAGTGGATTTTAAAATTTGAATTTGACACTACTGATGGCTTCCTAGTCTCTTGTCACTCTTTATTGGGAACTGAGCCCCAGTTTAGTCCTGATGACCTCGCCCAGGCCTTGTGACTTTTGCAGGTTTGAGTGACAGAATTTGTTTTTGTTTTTATTCTGTTTTCCCTAGCCTTTACCCATGAGTGAAGCTAATGGGAAAATACTTTCCTACAATGTGTCGTGTTCATCAGATGAGGAGACGCGGTCCCTTTCTGAGATCCTGGATCCTCAACACAGAGCCGAGATACGGCTTGACAGACACGACTACATCATCAGTGTGGTGGCAAGAAACTCTGCTGGCCCATCACCGCCTTCTAAGATAGCTAGTACGGAAATCCCAAATGGTGAGCGCTTGGGGGAGCTCACGGGAGCAGATGGAAATGGGACCGTTGGGGTGGCTTGTTCTCTCTTGGTGCCAGCTTTCCTCACAGAACCTGCTCCTCCCATGCTCTTCGCATTTTTATGCATATGGAGGACCAAGTACGTGAGTGTCTGCCGCTCACTGAGAGATACAGTCAGCAGTAATTTTTGTTTTGTTTTGAGACAAGATTTTCGCCATGTGGTTCAGGCTAGCCTCGAACGCACTAGATAACCAGGCTGGACTTGGAACAGGCAGTCTCCTGCCTCAGCCTCCTGGGTGACCTCAGTATTGACTTGAAGCCTATAAATTCGTAAAGATGATAATTGCTTTGTCATAGAGTAACGGAAAGTTCCAGTTGAGGATCGTAGTGTTAGGAAGAAATACTTTGACTGTTTGGTCAAAGACCATTTAAACATATCTTTCCAAGACTTAAGAGTTTCTGTAGTCAGTGTGTTTTTGCAGCCTGCCGGGCAGGGGAAAGGAACTTGTTTTAATTGGCAGCTTTGTGGTAAATTGATAATTTTTTTCCTTGTGTGTTTTTTGTTGTTGTCATTGTTTATAATTTTCTTTATAGGCAAGGTCTTGTAGAGTCCAGGCTGGCCTGGAACTTGCTATGTAGCTAAGGATGACTTTGAACTCCTGATTCTCCAGCCTCCAAACCCAGCATAGAAATTCTTCATATTTCTATGATAAGAAAGTTTCTAAAGGCTAAGTTAGATCATTAACCAGGGTTTTGAAAACCACAAATCCACATAATGTAATCTTAAGGTTTTTTTGGTGTTTTCTTCTAAACTGCACATAGTGACTTGCCACGTGCCTTCTCAGCTCCTTCGTGGACTTTTTTATAGTATATATTAAGTGCACAAAGTAGTGTGTTCGAACTTGCTATTTTCACACATACGTATACAACATACTTGGATCGTCTTTACCCTCTGGTGACCTTCACTAATTCCCCACCTCCACCACCTGCTAGCTTTCCCCTCCCCCTCAAAGCTGGACAACTTTCTGAGTCACCAGTAAATGGCCACGACCACCTCTTCTTCCAGTTACTTCCTGCATTCTTTCCCTGTCCTTCCCCAGTATGGGGACAGCTTTTTATGAGTCCACTCTGGCAGAAGGAAAAACAGTCTGGTCAGGTCCTCCAAGTGTCTCTCAGGGCTTGGTTGAGGTGGTTTCTTGGTACTGACCTGGTTCATTGATTTGTCCTCGGCAGTGACCACAGAGAATTATGAAGCAGGAGTGTATAGCAGGGTTGTTTCAAAGACTTGGCCACAGCACAGCCCTAAACCTAGGCAATGGATGGTGTGGCATGTCCAGGGAAGCAGGGGTCAGAGCAAGGTGTCCAGTGACCCCTCATTTGGCCCTGGTCCTTTTGCGGACTGAGTTGTGGTGTGTCCTTTTGAGTTACTGTGTTGACTCTGACGGGAGCATTCTGATCCTATATCAGAATGTAGGATCTGCATGTCCTTGAGAAGGTGGTTGGTAGGATCGAACTGGTGTCAGTTCTCACAGTTACATCCGGCGGCCCACAGCTCTCACTCCCAGAATCAGAGGCTACACAGCCTCAGCTCACATTCACATTGCGGCTTTGTAATCACATTGAGCCAGAAAGCTGTCCTGCATCCAAACCCTCCTATATTCTAAACCAGAGGCTCATCTTGTGTTCAGAAGTAGTTGCTTTATGAACACACGTTCATTTGGAAAACCTTCCTTTTTATGGCTTCTTTTTAAACCAAACCCTTACATATAGATTAGTTGGAGAGGTCATTATTTTTTCATGTCCCTGTGGGACACTCCCCCCCACCCTCCATATTGTGCTGTTCCCCATCCTGGTCCCTCACACTTCACCTCCATCCTCCCTTGTCCCTTAGGCCCAGGTTGAGCAGAAAGGAAACTAAACTTCCCCCGGCCACAGTGCCTGCCCTCACTCCCGAGTGTGTGCGTGCGCGCACACACACACACACACACACACACACACACACACACACACACACACACACACACACACACCCCACTCCCCTAGTATCTCACGGTCTCCAGAAAATGCCTCTGCCCACACTGGTCCTCTCACCTCACGGCTTTGCTCCATCAGCCATTTCCCACTCTGCACTTCCCCTAGATAGTCCCCTCGGGCCAACGTTTGGGGTGGGATGCAGGCGTCCTGGACTGCAGATGCTCAGCTCGTCCATTTCTGGGTGCTCTGTCCGCATGCTCTGTGCGACTCCTTTTCCCATAGGCTCTGCTCATGATGGATGTTGAGAGCAAGCGTTAATTGTCCCCTGGCCCTTCCCCAGCCTCCTGCCTCCTTCTCTCACCCCACATGGCCATGCTGTGGTCCTCATCCCGGGGCTAGCCCCGGGATGATTCTAGAAGCTCTTCTGTTCTCTCCCCAGCTTCTGTGTAATTTATTTTCTGGATAAAGCTAAACGCTGTAGTCATTCCAGTAAGGTTAACACTGCAACACTTCTTTGCTAAACGTTGACATCTAGCTCAACTACTATTTTAGAATTTGTGTACACTGAGATAATTTTTATGACTACTGTCCAGTTTTCTTGAGGCTTGCCTTCTGGTATTTCTTGGGACTGACAATAAAATGTCCTTCTCTTCTCTCTGAAGATGACATCATAGTAGAGCAAGCCGTTGGCATGGGAAAGAGGATCTTCCTCTCGTGGCATCACGACCCCAACATGACCTGTGACTACGTCATTAAATGGTGCAACTCATCTCGTTCTGAGCCCTGCCTCATGGACTGGATAAAGGTCCCTTCAAACAGCACTGAGACTGTAATAGAATCTGGTAAGAAGAATCCATGGCTCTCTGAGGCCTTCAAGGGGGGGTTGGAAAAGCCACACAGATGTGACTAGATGTATGACATTCTAGAGGTATGCCTGGATTTAATTTGATGTGGCATGTGTGTGGAAGAGACGCACTCTTGGAGCTGGGTTTTCCTTGTCCAGGAATTGACTCTGATAGGTCATCAGAGCACCATAGATTTTTCGTTTGGGGAATTGTGGGTTTTGTTTTTTGAGGTAGGGCCTCAAACCCAGAGATCGCCTGCTGCTGCTTCTGCTGAAACTAAAAGTGTGTGTGCCCCACCACGCCCAGCTCTGGAAGTGTTCTCCATAGCGTTGTTTGTAATCTGAAAATTACAGATAAGTAGCAGATAAGGGAATCAAGGGTGGTACGTTGATAAAATAGACTTCAGTCGGAGTGACAGTTACGTCAGATGTGAAACGACGTGAGAAAACACAAACAAAGAGGACGGCATAGTCGGTGCCCCTCTGCCTTAGTTTGTCCAGGACCTAGGCCGTTGGACAGCCTCGCCGACACCGCCAACACTTCCGTAAGATGGAGGCAGAGGGCGACTGGGATGAGCCTGGAGTAGTTTCAGCTCTGTCACTGAGCACCTCACTGCCGGTGAGCCTGGTCATGTAAGCCACCCTTGATAGGGGCAGCCTGAGAAGCGTGGCAACCGGGGAGGCTTGGATCCCCCAGACTAGCCCTGCTTCTCCTTTGGAAGCAGAGACTCCCTCCCTGCATTGCCCCCATGCCTTCTGCTGAACCAGCGTGTGCCTACACCTGTGGGGTTTTCCAGACCTAGTGGGTCCGTCGGTCATGATGCTGCTGGAGACATCAGCTCCTGGTCCTTCCTCATGTGTTGGTGAAGCAAGCTGGAGAGTAATGGGTCGTGGTGGTCTTCTGAGTTACTTCCTGTCTCCTCTAGCCACCCCTCCGCCTCTCCATCCTTCTCATCCCTACACCTGCCCTTCATTCCTCTCATGTGGGGCTGAGGTGACTGAGCCTCTGGTCTCTCCCTCCTGGGATTCGGGAATAAATGGGGTGCGCTGGGAAGGGGGCAGTGGAGGCAGTGTTTCTGGGAGAACAAGTTGTGGCTGAGATCCCTTAGGATGGGGAGAAGCCGCTGTGGTTAAGTGCCACTGTGTGTGAGCCGGGTCTCTGTGGTGGATGGGAAGACAGAAGCACGAAGTACTTGGGAGAGCGCTCTGGGTCACACAGTTAGAGTGCAGTGGTGCCAGAATTCAAATGCAGAACTAGCCGGGCGATGGTGGCGCACGCCTTTAATCCCAGCACTTGGGAGGCAGAGCCAGGTGGATCTCTGTGAGTTCGAGGCCAGCCTGGTCTACAGAGCGAGATCCAGGAAAGGTGCAAAGCTGCACAGAGAAACCCTGTCTCGAAAAACCAAAAAAACAAAAACCAAAAACAAATGCAGAGCAACTTAGAGCTTCAAAAGGCTGGGACTCTTGACTTTTATTACCTGCCTGCTGAGCTTCTGGGCGGAACGCTTCTCTCGTTCTTCTCTTCTGCGGTTTCCTCTCCTTCAGCTCTTGTTTATGATACCTGTAACACCCACCAGGCCCCTTTAGGTGACACACTCTATTTGGTATTGATAATATGTCATTTTAACATAAAATGAGGCATGGGTTTCTATGCAGTATACAGTCGTACCCTCAAGTACACCTTTCCCGCAGTGAAGAAAGGCACAAAATGGAATGCACTTGGCGGAGCTGAACTTTCCATCAATATTTACTTAGTACTTGGAAGCACGTAGCAAGCACTTTAGGAAAAACAGTGATGGGAGAAAAATTAAATAGAGACAGAACCGCAGTTCTCCCTTAGAGCATGGAGTTTTGAGGTGGTCGACCGCCCCGCTGTGACCTGTGGAGTCTAGGTGATCTTTGGGCATGTGGTTTAAAGGACTGCTGTATTAAGCACACTGAAGTGATTGGTCCACACAGGAACTAATACCTCCTGCCTTGTTCGACGTTATTAAGGCATTGTCTTCAAGATGAGCCTCTTTACTGCTTTTCACCGTCCTGTCCTCTTCAGAGCTCGCTTTGAATGGCTTTTTCTCATCTTCGTGGACTTGATTAGTGTTTCACCTAAGACCCCACACTTCTCACGAGAGAACCGTGGCTACTCTTGTCCTGTTTCTTTCCCATGCTTGCCACCTCCTCCATGTTGGGAACGTGGCCCTGTGCATTTCTGTGTTTCTCACGTCACACACGTTTTGTTGAGGTGTGTAACTGATGAGACGTTAAAAGGTGCTTCATGAGTTGAAGAAAGAGAAGCAACTAGAAGGGGGTGGGGGGTGGACCCAAGTGTGAGGATGAACGTGTGAGGATGCCATGATGACTCACTTCGTGTGCTAACCTAAAATATTAATTGAAAAAAAAAAAAACCAAAACAAAACAAAACCCAAAGATAGTTCCTGTGTGTCTTGCTCAGTGAGTGTTACGAAGAGAAACAAACTCCAAGGCCTGGTTCCTTTGTCCCCAAAACTTTGAGATAGAGTGGAGTTTTTAGTGCTCTGGGACGAGGGGAGAGATGTCTTTTCTTACACACAAGAAAGCAAAGGCATTTATTAATGCACAGAGAACTGGCCAGATGGCCTCTGGGAGGCAGGAACAAGATGTCAGCCTCAGTCACCTTTTTTTTCTGTTCTGAGAAATGTCATCCCATGATCTTGAAGCTTTTCATTGTTGTAGAAGTAACGGTGTTCAAGTTTTGCTTAATACTCCTAAATTTTTACCAATTTTATTTTTTTAAAAAAGTACCAGTGTGTTTTTATAATAAATCTGTTTGCAGTTACATTTGGAAATTTTAGCATGTTATAAATTTTAATGCTTCTAAACTGAATATTCCTGCTTACCTACATAGACTTATGAAGGTTCACTGATTTTGTTCATCCTACAGATCAATTTCAGTCAGGAGTAAGATATAATTTTTACCTCTATGGGTGCACTGATCAGGGATATCAATTGCTGCGGTCTATAATTGGATATATAGAAGAATTAGGTAAGTTAAATGGGTAAGTTACTAAAAGTTTGGCTAAGATGAGAAATTATAAATGGGCCAGTAGCGAGAGTTAATCCCCCAAATATATTGAATTTAGTTGTTTAGATCAAAAAAGATAAAATTATTTCTATCACAAATTTAGATTTTTTTTATCATTTATTCCCCACCTGCTTGTTTATTTCAGTTTCAGTATTGACATTGAGAAAGGTAAATCATGGCTGTCAAAACCACGTGATTTGTGTTTACCGAAGCTTAAACTTGGAAATGTATGCAGGACTTAACAGAGAGGAGACTATGCGTGAAGTCTGTTTGAGTGGTCACTTAAAGATGTGGCCCAGGTTGTCCCTTGGATGTGTGTGTCGTGTGTCAGGGCTGCGATTCCTTCCTGAGCTCCGCTGAGTGTTAGTGTTAGAAGTGTGGTTCCATGGCCTGCGGAGTTCACGATTGAGTAACCAGTACAATTTAATGCCAAGGCTGGGAAGGTTAGGTGTTGCTGAAGCCGGACATCTCAAACGCCGCGACTGCCCCACCCTTCAGCAAGTGACCTCTTGTGTTGACAGCCCCCATCGCCGCGCCCAATTTTACCGTGGAAGATACATCTGCAGACTCGATATTAGTGAAGTGGGAGGACGTCCCCGTGGAAGAGCTCCGGGGCTTCTTGAGAGGGTATTTATTTTACTTCCAGAAAGGGGAGAGAGAGACGCCTAAGACGAGGAGTTTCGAGACAGGTGAGTTCAGTGCTGCACTGGTTATGGGGCTAAAATGTATATAAAGAAAAAAGACTTTGACTAGCCATAAAATAAAGGAAAGAAAAGGCTGATGCATAGCTAAGGAATAATTTCCAAAACTATCTGAAAAGGTGTACGATAAATAGCATGTAAATCTTTAAAAGTCAAAATTACGTATTTTTGAATCCTTTCATTGTAAGTCCCACAGAATGGTGACCATTTCTTGCTAGTGTTGCATTATCTATACCAGAGCATATTACTCATTTTTTAGTGTGATTTTACATTTGATAACAAAAGAGGCAGAAAAGCAACAACAACAACAAACAAACAAACAAAACCATTAAAAAAAAAAAAAAGAATGGTTTCTGAGCCCCAATTATAATCAGGAATCAAAATGGTGGCAGACTTCCCTGTCAACAGACACTAGACGGTACCACAGCAATGTCCTCAAAATACCGAGCCACTGTTATTTTCAGCCTCAAAGTCTGCACTCTGCCTCTCTGCTGGTCAGTAGCAGAATAGAAAGAAGATTTTCTAGACTTGCAAAGGCTGTGAGTGTTTCCTTCCCCTGTCCTGCCTTTCTCTGGAATCTGCTAGAAGGGAGAAGACCCCGCTTCTAGTGTGGAAAAGAAGTGAGGAACACCCAGAAAGAGCTGGAGAGTGAGGTAGAGTAGGTGGAGAGTCCAGCATGAGCCAGGGTCCAGAAAGGAGCTGGAGAATGGGGTAGGGTAGGTGGAGAGTCCAGCATGAGCCTGGGTAGCTAGAGAAGCAGCCCCCATTGGAAGGAAGCGGGGGAACGGGGGGTGGGGGTGGGTGGGTTGTTTCCATATGTGGAGAATGTACTGAGCTTCCACTGAAGCATATGAGAAGAACTGAGAACTTAGTACATAGAAATTTTAAGAAAATTGAGCAAAAGAGGGCGGAAAGCAATTACAATAGGAAAACAAGAATGCAAATATACCAAGTCGCTTTAAAATAAAAAAAATCAGTGACTAATCTTCATGTGGTCATAGCCACGTGAGCACTGAATTCACCCACCCGGTGTGGTGATGCCACTCTGTGAATGTGGTGGGGGAGGGGTAAGGGGAGTCTAAAGGAGTTAAATCCTCATCCACCCTTTTTGAACACAAATAGACCAAGAGCTGGTAAACTCTTCCAGAAAGGATACCTGATTTCTAAGTGGTTGTAGAGGCAAGGGAGGGGCCAGGAGGAAACCGATTCGTTTTGCCTCTCGCTGTTTATTACTGCTTGGTTCTTTAAACTCGCATCCTGCGTTATTTTGATTGAGACTTTCACGAATAAAAGAGTCAAACGATCTCCACCCTTCCCTTTGAAGTGACCCAAAGGCATCCTCACAGCATCTTCTTTTTGAGAATTCCCACCACGTGGGTCCTTTCCTAAGAAGGGCTGAGGTCATGTCCACTGCTCTTCCTTCACCTTTGCCCTGTCTAGCCTCTGCTGCTTCCGAAGGGTCTGTTTTGGGTGCCTTGGCATTTCAGGGCTTTTCTCTTAGTCACCGACAGGAAAATGACCTCTGTGGATTGCCTGCCGTATGCCAGGCATTGTTCTCAAGAGTACGCCTGGAAACTTTGCCGGTCACTGGGAGCCAAGCTGTGCTGTCCCCTTGCAGAGTCAGAGAAGCCCGAGTTTAGAGTAATTTAGAAGGTGTGACAGGCAAGGCTAGAACCGAATGTGGCCCCAGAGCCTTGGCTGGGTGTGGCCAGCAGCCAGACTTGCTTTCCAAAGGGTGCCTGGCTGGATGTCCGAGTGTTTATAAAGTGACCTTAGAATGAGTGAGAATATTCTTCGCTTTAGGTCATTCTGACATCAAGCTCAAGAATATCACTGACATATCCCAGAAGACGCTGAGGATCGCTGATCTTCAGGGTAAAACCAGTTACCACCTGGTCCTGCGAGCCTATACACATGGTGGCCTGGGTCCAGAGAAAAGCATGTTTGTGGTGACCAAGGAGAACTGTAAGTTCAACACTGCCCTAGAAACGCCTTTGCCACTAAAGTGATAGTGTCTCTGGCATCTGGGGACTGCCCACATATCTTTGTTCCGAGTTCTATGGCAGTGATGATACTCAACTTTCTTAAGGCTGTGACCCTTTAATACAGTTCTTCGTATTGTGGTGACCCCCAACCCTAAAATTATTTGCATTGCTACTTCATAACTATAATTTTGCTACTGTTATGAATCATAATGTAAATATTTTTTTTTTTTGGACACAGAGGTTTGGCAAAGGGGTCACGACCCACAGGTTGAGAACCACTGCTCAAATTTTCACATTTTTATGTCAGAAAGAGGACAGGGTTGAAAGGCTATGAGAGGACTTTTTATTTTGTTTTCTTGTCAGTTATTTCAAATTACTTCCTGATGAGTATATAAGAAATTAATTAATTTCGGGGAGGCACCCAAAGATCTCCAGTCAAACCCAGGTTAAATATTTTCCCAAGCTAGTTTGATTTTAATATTTAGGGAAATGTGTAAGAAACATTCTTTAAGCGTTAGTAAAACGCCACACCTCTAAGTCTGAGGTGGGGCAGTAGACAAGGAATAGCCCTTGCTGCCCCTCACCATGACAGACAGAGCTTCGGCTCAGCTCCAGTCTTCCCCTCTACCAGGATGGAGTTCGTGTCCAGGTCTGAAGTACAGAGCCATGAGGCTGTGGGGCACTGAAGCAGTGTTTCTGTGGGAGGTGATTTCGCCCCCTCCAAGACAACTTGGCAATGTCTGGTGTTTTATTTTTGACTGTAACTGGAGTGCTATGGGCATCTCATGGTTAGAGACCAGGATGTGGCTAAGCCTCCCACAGACACAGGACAGCCCTTCCCACCCACCCCTCCTCACACCAGAAACATCTGGCCTACATGTCGCCAGTGGCAGGGTCGAGCAATTCTACCCAACAGAACATTTCAGTGTCCCTGGGTCACTTAGATTTTTTTTTTTGTCTCTTTGAATAATAAATTTAAGTGTATTCTAATTTAAGTTGATTCTATACTCAGTACCTCCAGTGGTGATTTTCAATATTTATAACTGTTTCTTTGCAGCGGTGGGATTAATTATCGCCATCCTCATCCCAGTGGCCGTGGCTGTCATTGTTGGGGTGGTAACAAGTATCCTTTGCTATCGGAAGCGAGAATGGTAATGGTACCTCTGTATTCAACTGTCTGTTTGCTAACCTCATTATTCAGTCATGCTATGCAAATTGGTCAGATATGCTCTATTTACTTAGAACGTTGACTTCAATATCAAGTAAGAATATGGCATCCTATTGGAAATAGTTAAGAACTCCTGGAGTAGAAGGGTACATCCCTCCTGCCATCTTTACTAATAATTTGTGGTAATGGCGGATTTGCTTCAAAGATATTTTCACACATAAATTGGCAATGGCTATTTGCAGGATTAGATGGAATTTAATGATTAAGATCGCACAGGTCCCGATGACCCATTCATTTACTTACGATGTATGAACGCCCCTTCCACGAGAAAGGGCTCATTATGGCTGTGAATAAAGCAAGCCTGGACTTTAGAGTTTCACAGCACCGTGAGAGAAGGGCCAGGAAAGCATGGGCATGTGTACACACGTGCTTCCAGAGTGTGAGTGGACACCCAGCAAGAGAGGAACAGGGAGCCTGGGAAGGAAGAGGCGAGCAGGAAGGCTGCCTTGTGGGAGAGCCCTGAAGGGTAACAAGAGGAGAAAGACCATTCTGGAGAGAGTGGTTTCAGTGAGGCTCTGAAGCTGGGGCACTGGATGATTGGCTGACATGGGAGAGAGGTACCGGAGGGAGGCTGAAACCAACGAGCCCAGAGGAGAGCAGTGTGCACCGAGCTGGCTGCCAGGAGCTGTCCTCACTGGGATGGGACAAAAGGCTGTAGTCAGCACAGAATGGGCTTCACTTTCTTTAACATGCCATTGTTGGTGACAGAGAGAAAGTGTCCTGACAGTCCTGGCTTCGAAACGAAAACAGTAATACTTGCAAACAGAAGAACCTATTTTGGCAACTAATTCCAACTTTAAAACAAAATGTCAGCTTAAAAAAAAAAAAAAGATGCCTGGAAGCTAGAACATTCAGACTTCTGTCAACATAGTCACTGTTCTTCAGGAATTCCAAATAATGGAGTCCTTAGCAGTTCTGAGTATAAAAATACAGGGTGTTGAGAAAAACCTCATTTTCCCTGATGTTGAATTTTTATCTGACATTTGTAGCGTTTTTATTTTCTTTAGCTCAGCAGGCCCTGTCCTTGCCACTCAAGGCTGCCACCTTTAGTACTTTCTGTTATTTTTTTTTAACCTGGTATGGGCGACTCATGGCCAGCCTGGGCTACCTGAGTCTCTACCTCCAAAAACAAACAAACAAATACAAACAACAACAACAACAAAAAATGAAAATAGAATTAATGTTTTTTAAATGTAAGCACTCACTACGCTTGCCCATCTTAGTTGAGCATGCCAGTCCAGACCCTGTGATGAGCAGAGGACTGCTTGTGCACACAGGTCCCTTGAGTAACCGACCTTCTCAATCCAGCTTGCAGTGAGACTTTGGCAGTGTTTCATGGGAGGCATGATCGTGGCCATCACTGTAAATTACTTTCATTTTCCTGAGCCAAATAAGGCCTTGTAGTGGTGGTCCCAGGCGTGCATACTGGAGTCCCATGCCGGAACCTCTAGCGAATGGCCCCATGGTAAAGAGCTTGTCTGTGTCTCAGATGCTCGTGGACATTGTCACCAAAAAAATCTCCAGCCAAGCCAAAAGACCTCTTCACTGTGTTACGTGATCGATGTGTGATAGTTATTAATCGAATTCACTCTTTCTTTGAAGGATTAAGGAAACGTTCTACCCCGATATTCCCAACCCAGAAAACTGTAAAGCGTTGCAGTTTCAGAAGAGCATCTGCGAGGTAAGCTTTCCTTCCATGTGCTTGTCTTTGAGGACAAAAGGGCTCCTTCCTCCTCTGTCTTCTGGGAGGAGCCTGTGATGTGTAGGTGTGAGCCTAAGAAAAAAGCATGGAGAAGGTAGCAAGCTTTACCATCTGTTGAATGTTCAGAGTTCTTCATCTTCAGTGTTTACGCCATGCTTTTTTTTTTCTTTCTGCTATGAATAGTAAAGAAAATTTTGATGTAGAGGGGAAAAAAAGTGACCTTGCTCTTCATGTGAACTCTAGAGCTGCAGAAACCAATGTTTATAAACAGATGTGAAAGGGAAAAAAAGTAAAATGTAAGTCTTTCTCTAAGGAGGCTCACTGGAGCATGCAGGATTGTCTTAACCACTGTTCCCAATTTATTTCCAGGGGAGCAATGCTCTTAAAACATTGGAAATGAATCCCTGTACCCCAAATAATGTCGAAGTTCTGGAATCCCGATCAATCGTTCCTAAAATAGAAGATACAGAAATCATCTCCCCAGTGGCAGAGCGTCCCGGGGAAGGCTCCGAGGCAGACCCTGAGAACCACGTGGTTGTGTCTTACTGCCCACCCATCATCGAGGAGGAAATAGCAAACCCCACAGCAGATGAAGCGGGAGGGACTTCCCAGGTCGTGTACATTGATGTTCAATCCATGTATCAGCCTCAAGCCAAACCAGAGGAGGAACAGGACGTTGACCCCGGGGTGGTGGCAGGCTATAAGCCACAGATGCGCCTCCCCATTAACCCTGCCGTGGAGGACCCAACAGCAGAAGATGAGGCAGATAAGGCCGCAGGTTACAGACCTCAGGCCAATGTGAATACGTGGAATTTGGTCTCTCCAGATTCCCCGAGGTCCACGGACAGCAACAGTGAAATTGTCTCTTTTGGAAGTCCGTGCTCCATCAATTCCAGGCAATTTTTGATTCCTCCTAAAGATGAAGACTCTCCTAAATCTAACGGAGGAGGGTGGTCCTTTACAAACTTTTTCCAGAACAAACCAAACGACTAAACTAGTCACCCTTCGTCACTTTAGTCCGCCATCTCAAGCTCTCACTGCTGGTGTTCCCGGCAGTAGCCGGGGCATTCCTGGAGGGACCCTGCAAATGTTGACAGTCAGGGACCGTCACTCTGGGCAAGTGACACTGCAAGTGTTACTGAGCTTTTAATGTGTCCTAAAGCCAAAACACAGTGACTCAGAAACCTCAGCCACGGAAACTTAAGATTTGAAGCTGTTTTTGATTGAGCCAAAGAATCCTCCAGAAGGATTTCACGACTAACTCTGCCTAGTACATATATGCAAAACAAGTCTCACAACCGTCTGCTGTTAATGGTTTTTCTCTTCTTTGTATGTTATGGAATTCCAAGTGGATTTACGGGCAAGGAAGAAAAATGTACAAGTCAAAGTAATGTTAGTGTGCCTGACATTTACTGCGGTCTAGAGGAAAACCAAGCACAGATTTTAAAACTTTTATGATGTCTCCATCCACAGCATTTACAAAAGTGAAAACTTAGTTTTTAACGTAGCAGTAGCGATCTGGTGTTCTGTTGGATAGAGTGTGCTGATGTCTGTGCCTATCTGGTATTCCAGTTGATGGAGCGCGCTGATTTCTCTGCCTACTGTATAATGGTTGTCAAACAGTTGTCTCAGGGGTACAAACTTGGAAAAACAAGTGTGACACTGACCAGCCCGAATCAGAATCACATTGTCCTGCTTTAGTGGGGTGTGAAGACCTCTCTCCTATCACGTAGCGTGCACGCTAGCTTACGTTCTGCGGCCCATTGTCCTAATGTTGGGAATTTCTAGAACTCTATCCAAATTTTCTCTGTTTTTGTTTTGTGTTACAGTGTCTGCTTTGTAGGAGCAAATTCAACATTACTCACAAGTATATAATTGTAACGAGTTACTATGTAAGATGACTACTAAGAATAGCTACTAGTGTATGCTGGCGCCAAGCTCTGCTAAGGCTCAGTTCCCTGAGAAGGTATGCCATTAAGCCTGACCAATAGCTGATGATGATCTTTGGGGCCTCTCAGTAGCTTTTTCCACTGCTCGTGAGTCACAGCCCCTCCATCCTCAGCAACTGGTGGTCCAGGCTCTCAGACCCAATCTTCAAATCCATAAGCTTAAACCTAAAGGGAGATTATTTCTCCCCAGAGCAGCTAGTAGAGGATGATTTTAATAGAAGTCCTAAAACTTATGGAATTGGTGGGGAGTGGCCTGTGGTGGTTCTGTAAGCCGTGAAGAGCTGGGTCCTGAGTACAGCACCCTCCATCTACCCTGGTTTCTCAGCAATGTGGACAGTGACTGTGGTTCTAGGAAAAGCAGAGTAAAACCCTAAAATTTAGGTTGTGTATTTGCTCTGCCTTTGGATTGTCAAATTACGTGACAGTTTGAAACCCCTGAATAGAAAGCCTTTGTTTTGTTTCATCTGAAGTCCCCCAAATTTTGCAGATAATGGATTGTTTTTTTTTTTAAGTTCATGTTTAATCTTAATTTTTCCTTTTTTTTTTTCTTTTTAATGTACCTCTGGCTGTCTGAGTTCACTGCGTAGACCAGGCTGCCCTCAAACTCACAAGAGATCCACCTGCCTCTGCTTCCTGAGCGCTGGGATTAAAGGCATGCACCACCATGCCGGGCTTCATATTTTATCTTTTTAAAAGTCATGTGGGGAAAAAAAAATTGCAGGGTGACAAGGGACAAAAATCTAATAGTCAATGCATGGTCCTGTTTTTAACCTTAGGATTCAACTACATTTTGGATATGATGGTTTGTGAAATGAAATTCAATTAGTTATGCATTTATATAGTATATAGAAGGTAGATAATAACTCTTAGAAATTCTCAGTAACGAAAAATACTCCAAACTAGAAGCACCTCCAAAGAGTTTAATTTGTCTTCCTTGTGCCCTCTCTGGCTCCTTCTCGACCCTCCAGGCAGCCACTCTGAGCTCCTGTTGCCATCCTCGCCCTGATGCATCTTGTTACGGCTTCTGCTCTGCTTGCCCTCGGCTCGTGCCTCCTTCCCCGCCGCAGCTTATCAGTTTCATATTCCATCTAACGAGGGCGAGTGTCTGTGGAGGTAGTCACTTATCATCCTGAACGACATTAACTCGAGAACACAAGGAAAGGCCAGGGGAAATGGGCTCATCCTGTCATCCATGCCCCTTTCCTGTGGGCGTCTAGAGTGAAGGGCGTTAGAATCCTGCTCATGTCACCCTGCTTCTGAATCCCATTCTCAAGAACCACTGGGCTAGGAGAAGCGGGGTACCCGTGGATTATTTTAGGAAAATGTGGCTGGGTGCTGTCTTTCCATCCCTGTGCGGTATGGTTACTGCTGCAGTTCCTCCTGAGTTGTGCAGGCAGAAGACTAAACAGAGAACAGGGGGGACAGGGACACGCAGGACATGTTGTCACCCTTCTGTCCGCCTGTTTCACTCAGATTTCCGTGTGAGCAGTGGAGACTTGGGGGGCCGGGGGGCGGTCTCATCATACTCGTGAGTGGCCATTTTAACCCATAGTTAATTTAAAGGTATTCTCAAACACAGGCTTTTGGCATGAGGGCTGTGAGTCGTGTGCCACATTGATTCGCACATCTGTCCCTTCTGGATCCCCCCCCCCCCCAGTTGTTGAACCTGTGCTGTCCTGGATTGGAGATGGCAGTCCCGCGCATCTGCAATGTTGAGCTGTGTTTCTGCGCCCTGTGTGATAGAGGGGCTTTTGTTCCTGCTGCTGGCAACAGAAGCAGCTATTCATCGGAAAACTCGAGGGAGGAAGTGTCAGCCTCATTTTCCACATTAGCATTGCTTTCATGGCTCCTGGGACTTGAAGGATTGCATTCAGAGCACCCAGTGCCATCGTCGTACCCAGAAATGGTAGAAAGTCCCATTCTTTTAGACCTTCCTGCAAACTCAGGTCTTGTTTAGAAATGTCTCCTGTCCCAGGAATACTGTCTGTATTTATCAAAATATCACAGTCCTTTCTGTGTTAAATGTAATTTAGTGAAAGGCTAGAGAATTTTCCCTCCCCATGGGAATTCACGATCAATGTCGTGGTATTTTTCAATTAAAGGACTTCTTAATATGTCAGTATGCAGAAAGTATTATCTCAAAGTTTCTTACTGTTCAGGCACTTCATCTGGTGAAACTTGTTTGTTTGCACTTAAGGTAGTTTTTGCTTTTTCTCATTTCAAACTGTGTTAGAATTAGTGAAAGGACTTTGAAAGTGTAATCCTTGGCTTCCCAAGTGAAATATGGGGGGAGGGTCATTAGCTGCTAATGCCTGGCACACAGTGGAAGCTCAGTGGCTGTATTGCTGGAATTCCTTTCCACTGTTACAAATTCAGCAGAACTGTCTGGAAGGATGATCAAGATTAAGATGTAGCTTGCATCTATCTGAAAGATTTGAATATACGATGGAAGCGGCCCCACAGTTTGAGGAAAAACTGAGAGGACTCACCAGACAGTTCATCAGACACTGTCAGCGTACTTTTTTAACTGTGTAGAGCTTGCTTTTATGTGAAGAGTACTCCATTTGGAGACGTGTTTGTACCAATCTAGCATATGTTATGGGGAGCGATGCATGTGAGCTTAAGTGATTCATAGCAGAACTTACTCTCTTTGTGAAATATTTTGAACTGATATTTTCTGCTGAAACAGTTTCATACTGTCATATCTGTCTTCCCTCTCATATCCAGAACCAAAAAAAAATTTACAGAAGGGGTGGGGGGTGGGGTGAAGTGTGGCCAAACTTATAGGACATTGATCTTTTAGATATAACCCTAGAATATCCTTCAAATTCATTTAGCTTGAATCATGATTCTGCCCCAGTACGATTCATGCTGTTTAAACCTCTCAGTTTACCAGGGTCGTTAGATTTTTTTTTACTCCTTTTCAATTACTGCTTTTATCTCGATAACTGCATGATCATGTTCATACTGATTATATTACAGATGAATTATTTCTAAATGTAGGCATAAAGGATGGAGAATGACATTTGGCTGAGTAATACCAAGTTTTGTTTCATCTTGTTAGAGTTTCTGGGGCTGTTATTTGCTCTAGAATATCCACATGTTTCTAATTATGATATTAGATTATGACTGGATCCCATTGTTTTTAACCAGAGTAGTACCTGTTCTCCCTGCATTATGAATGATAATTTTTGTCCAAGGTGTAAATAGAATTTGCTTAAGTTAAATTCTAACTGTGGTATACTTTTATTATAAATAAACCATAACTGATTGCACATTAACTAAATATAAATCCATAATAATTTTTATTACTTTTTGGTTGCTAGAACTGAATACCTTAAAAATGAAAAAAATGCTGAGAAAAAAATGACAATGAAATTAATGTTTATTACATTCATATGTAATATGTCTTTAAGATCACCTTTGTACTACTAGTCAATCAGAACTGTAAAAGTAAGTATTACAGACTTTTTGCTGTACTTATGCCTAAAATATTGGGTATGTCTAATTTGCTGGCTACTTAAATTTATTCTGTTTCCTTATGTGCACTTTTATTTTTAATTATTCCATTTTAAATGGGCAGTTTCAACTTCTGAACTCACTTCCAGATATTCCAGTAGCATATCCTCAAATATCAAAATATTTTTAGGTGATAATCCTGTCTTCCTTAAGTCACGGGCAGCTCAGTACTTTGGTAGGTAGTTGTAGGACAGAATGCTGAATAATAGTTTTCAGATGATAGTCTCCCTGTTTGAACCAAATATTGTCATGCATCTTCTCCTAGTAGGTCAATTATTAACCCCTGGTTCCTTCTATTTAATTTTCCTGCCAATATATTATTTAAGAACATATGAAATACCACGGTAAAGCGTTGAAGCATAAACCCTGTTCAGCTCTTTGTGGTGGGTTAGGTATTATGGGATACCCTGAGACAGAGCAGCTGCTGAAATATATTTCCATTCAGAGCTGCTATGAAAGGATTGTTCTGGATAGAAAGACAGATATCCTGAGTCTGAGATGGTTCCAACTTACGGGTGTATTCAAAGGTAAAATAAGCCGTCTAAAATTACTCAGTGTTCCTAGTAAGATGTTTTCAAAATGATTTTTTTTTTTTACCAAATCTTCCATTAGCTGATCATAAGCCATTATCTCTGTAACACTAAGAAATTGCCATTTTTTCCTTTCAGATTTGCATTACAGTGCGTTACTGTTTACAAAATACACATACTGTGAACAGATATAAGTTTTTGTCTTGTATAAGGTAGAATGAATGTTTTTTTAAGATGGTGTTGTGTTAAATATTTTTAGGTTTTTATAAGTAGTAACTGTTTACTAACTTTTGTTTGATCAGGTGTGTGTATGTGTAGCCGAGAGAAGATAGACATTGCGGTCTCCATAATTACCCCTTTTCATTTTCTGTCAAGTTACCACTACAGACATTTTTGTGTTAACACAAATCATCGGTTATGATGTGCAATACCTAAAATCATGTTTAATCCTATAAGGAGTCTTTTACAAATGCATATACAGGAAGTAAACCAAATTGATATGTGTGTGACTCACTATGACTCACAGAATTCTGAGTTGAGTATGGAAAAAAACAGCACTCAAGGAGATTGATAACTGAAGTATTTCCAGTCTTGTGAAATTTTGAATATAAATTATGTTGCTGTTAGAATGGGAAATTTGAGCATTTTATATCATAATTTCCGAGGTTAGCTTCCATGTCTTTTGGGAAACATGATTATCACAAGAACATAGAATATGTAAATAGCCTATTACTAAGACACTACAAATATAAAACTAGTATCGCTTGACTGTTAATTCTATAAAGATGTTACCTATGTCTGTTTTTAAAACATGCATGTATTTAACAATTTTATCATAGTATTGTCTTGGAAAGAAATAAATATATTTTCTTACATCTTACCCTGTGGTAGTAATGGACTTTATTGGTTTGGGGTCTTTTTCCTCATGTCTCAAAAATTTAGTAAAAATGGCTTTCACTTTTTTTTATTTTAATTTTTTTTTTGTTTTTTACTTTATCCCATAAAAATCACAGTGATGCTAAAGCAATCACAGAAACGTTAGCTGTGCTCTTGGTATTTGATGACATGCCTATGCTATTGACAGCACCTTCTACTTGCTCTATTAAATTAGTGTTAATATTTATAGAAGAAAAATCATTTAACAAGAGAACCTTATATTTTTAAATAAAATTAATTTTTAGAAAGTGGGAAGGTAGCATTAGCCAATAAGATCCTTGCCAGGCATGGTGGTACATGCACATTTAGTCTCAGCCAACACTAAGGAGGCAGAGACAGATGGATCTCTGAGTTCCAGGCCAGCCAGGGCTACATACTGTCTCAAAAAGGGGAGGGAGGGAGGGAGAGAGGGAGGGAGAGAAAAGTGCTGATTCTTAAAGCAAGGGTTTTAATTTACCATCTCCCAAGACAGCCAAATATTTCAGGAGTTTCTGGGAAGGCATTAAAATTTCAACTTACTGAATCTTGAAACACAGTCACTGACTTAGCGAAACTCTAGTCATTTTAAAGTATGCAGTGCCATGAGAGGCTTATAAAGGGAGAAATGAAGTTCTTTGTCCTGTGGAGCTAGCTCAGACTCACCACGAGCAACAGCCAGAGGATGAATGGGCCTGACTTGAGCCTGTAAAAGTGCAAGTCAGTTGTAAATGAGTTGTGAAACACATGTTAATATTTAAGTGCTAGAAAAGCTCACACATATGCTCTGTACTTTGGGGAATTCTCAATGCAGAACTTGTTCCCAGAAGGTGAGTTCTGGAGCCAAAATGTATACCGCCATTACCTTCAGAAACTGAAAGGCTAAAGAGAAGAAGGATGTGCTTATTAGGAAAAAGAAACATAAGAGATGGATGAATAAATGGTAACGCATGATATCCAACATCATGGTACCGCGCTGGCTAGCAAACCTTGGTCCTTTACAAAGGAACTATAGAATTCATTTTAAATGACCTGTACATTTGACCCAGTTCCTTTCCCCATGAATGACCAGCAGTAAAACTGATTTCAAGACATTTAGTTTTTATAATCCAGGGAAATTGAGATAATGAGAGATGACTTGAACTGATTCAAAATTAAATTGGAGATGACTTTTATTCTTAGAAGATCAATCTCGGGTTGTGGGAATAAGAAAAGCATTGGGAAATGATTTTTGATAAGCTGTCAAATAGAAATAATGTTAGAATGAACGAAATCCCAGTGTATTCATCTTTCTGGTGGCTAAATGCTTGAAAGGGAGAAATAATTTTAAACTCCAGCTCAGATTGAAACCATCTGTCCCTTTATGGCTCCGGCCAGCCTGTCACCCACTGCAGACGTGTGTCAGTGTGCCAGGCAGCCTGAGAGGAAGGCATCACTGGACTCTCTCTCTTCCTCTCCATCACCTCACCCCCTCAAAGAACTGATGGTACCGACACGTGGAGGCTGAGGAAGCAGTATTGAGAGTAGAATGCTTGCCCTCAACTCTGCTTGCCCAGTCACAGTGCAGACAGCTTTCATACCCCATCAGAAGGGAACCAAGGGAGGT